ATGGAGGTTCTTCTATGTCCAGCATCCTTTCTTAAGTAAACTGGTGTTGCCAGGAGCATACATGTCTCACTGTCATGAAAAGCCTTATTGAAACATCTTAAATGCCATTATCTGGTAGGTTTATCTAAGATAATTTATTTAACCTTGAAAACATACCTAACACGACTATAAATTCGATTGTTATAGATCACTACTAAGCTGTATTTCTTAATTATCCTGAGCAGTTTGTAATGATAGCCTTCAAGAACTAGAACTTATATTTTTAAATGGCTTGCATAGATACAATACCTTAAACAAGAACATACACAGTATAATAAAAAATAACCTTAAATTTATCAATATATAAAAGGCCATACCAAGGTAAAATATTTTAGATTAGTAGTTGCTAATTTTAGATTAAAGGTAGATTCAATAATTTACCCTTTTGTTCTAGAATTCCTATATTCCCCTTTTTTCTCTTCAGAGATTCCCGAATATAACCTACTTTGCTTAGTTTTTTCCCTGACCATGACAAACTTCCACAATCCACCAAATGACAAAAAAAAAAAATCACCCACCACACCTCCTCTTGGTAATATGGGTGTCATGTTCTATAGACTGTTTTCTGTTGTCTTGGGATGATGACATCTTTAGGGGATGCTGAGATGAGAAAATAGGGATAATGGCCAAGTCCTGGGACAGCTACTTGTATTATTTTTTGTTTAGTCTCTATGTAGATCTTATCTGAAGTCCTGCCTAGAGTAGTCTTTGAAGCTGGACCATCTCAGCTAGCAGCTTTGAAGTTATTATGGATGTAGTTTTTTTTTTTCCCCCAAGACAGGGTTTCTTTGTGCAGCTTTGGAGCCTGCCCTGGAACTCGTGCTATAGACCAGGCTGGCCTCAAACTCACAGAGATCCTCCTACCTCTGCCTCCCAAGTGCTGGGATTAAAGGCATGCACCACTACCCGCACTGGATGTAGATTTTGAGGAAACTACAATAGAGAGGCTGGATCACCTGGGCTACTTGCCTTCATTGGTGTCTGGTCCTTTTTTACAGAAAACACAGAAACTTTTAAAGTTAAAATATATTTGCACTAACACAAGTATGGAATATTTGGTGTGCACAAGCTAGCTAAAGGTGATTTTCGATTTTATGTTTGAGCAAACAAAAGACATCTGCCAACTTTATAAGTCCGTTTGGACTGCATAAACAATATAAATCTCTATCCATGTTATATGAAAGAATGGCATGTAATAACAAGTCATAAGATTTATTGTGTCGCATCCGATTTTAGAGGTGTTTCCATGTAGAGGGATCAGTGTGGGAACACCAGACCTTGAGCAGAGACCCACTTCCCCTTCTGCCTGGGAGTAGGCAGCTGTAAGACAATGTTTAGTAAAAACATGTTTACTAAAAATGATACAATAAGTTCCTGAAAAAGGCCTTCCCATGGAAACCACCCTGACCTCGACCTTGTCCAAAGACTAATCGCACCTTAAAAACCCACACACATCCACCTCTGGGGTCAGAGCAGAACCAGCCAGGGTAGAGGAGAGAGCAGAAGCTTCTCTGGTGGGAGCTTTTCTTAGGAGGTTTTCTTGAACCTTTTTGGAGCCTGTTTAAAGTTTTCTTTACATCGTTGAACGAGTCTCTGTGTTGTCAATCCCCGATACCCTCCGCACGTTCTCGGACACAGGCCGCGCAGCAGACGCGACAGATCAGCATATATGTTGCCTGTCTTGTAGTCTTTCGTGGTTTTTTTCCTCATGAGGTCTCCCCCTGTCAAAGATGATCCATAGTTTTTTGTTTACTACAGAAACAAAAGCATGACCTCTTTCCCAAGGCAACATATTATTTTTTTACTTCATCCTGAAGTTAAGACATTCTTAAAATATAATAGGTTGGTTTAATTTAACAGTTTCTGTGGAGGAACTGATAATGATTCACAGGATGTTAATATTAAATATAATTTATTTTGGGGAGAAGTCACTTACAGAAGAAACAGATGGCTGACACAGGTTCCCACTCTAAGGATACGCACAGGCTGCTCTTGTGTGACCCACCCTGAAGCAAGAGAGATTTCTGGGGTCTGGGCCCCAGATCTAGTCCTCCCTCTGACAAGTCCTCACCTGTGACCACGCCCAAACGGGCATGATCAGTGCTCAGGTGTGGATGGGGTGGCTACCTCACTACAAGTTTCCATAATCCAAGGTCTCATAGCAGCTATTGTTCTTTAATTAGCATTTAAAAAATTTAAAGTCAACAAAGCATCATACAGGATCCTGACACCTGTATATTTTTTGTTCACATGTCTTATTTTTGTATTTAATCTCTTTCTTTAAAGACTTCACTTTATTATTTTAAGTCATTTATTTTTTATGACTGTCTATACCCATTACCTTCTTCAGCATCTAAGCATATTAAAAATATGGTAACTGTTGGTAGTTTTTTTGTTTTGTTTGCTCTGGACCTGACTTTTTGTGCATCCTCAGCCTTCTCTGTGGGAGCCAAACCTTATATAGCTAGGCTCGCTCTGGCAGCTGGCTCCATGCCCTCTGTTCCCTGAGAGCACAGCTTCATGCTAGCCAGGAGCAGCATTTACCGCCCGAGCTCCAGGATGTTGTTGTGTTCTCAATGTAGAAGGTGTTTTTACCTAGTATATCAGCTGTTCAAATGTTCTGCTCCACAGCAAGGCCTTTCAAAGGAGCTGCATCTCTGTACACCATGAGCAGTGAACCTACCCGAGAGGCTGAGGTCACCAGAAAGCTTTCCCAGGCATTATATGGATATACATGGTACATGTTGGGCACCAAATGTAGCAAGCTTTCTCATCAGACTTTCTTGGACAGCCAGCCCACAAATAACGACACAGAGACTTATTATTAATTATGAAAGCTTGGCCTTAGCTTGGGCTTTCCCTCCGACTAGCTCCTATAATTCAAATTGACCTGCTTCTTTTAATCTACGTTCTGCTTTGTGACTTTTACTTTTCCTCAGTACAGCATGTCTGACTTGCTGGAGTCTGCTGGTGAAATTCATACGTCTAGATTCCTCCTCCTCTTCCTCTCTCTCTCTCCCCAGAAATCCCACCTATCTTCGCCTGCCTGGGTATTGACTGTTCAGCTCTTTATTAAGCCAATCAGAAGGCACCTTAGGCAGAGACACATCTTTACAGTGGGTGCAGACCTGACAGTGTGACTGCCTTAGTGTCACTCAGACTTCTGTCTATAACCCTTCCGCCATTCTCTGTAAATAACCTCAATAGACTCATCCGTTCCTGGGGGTGAGCTTTGGTTTGTATTGAGACCTTATGAAGAATAAATGTTGCCTAGTACCCCCTGGCAAAACTTCAGGTTAACCCACTGTTTAAATGTCCCCACTTAAGATCTATTCTCATCACAAAGGTTGGTGACAGATGTGGGGTAGGTGGTAACGACATATAACACTGAATCACTTTGACGTGTGGCTAATGTGCCTCTTCTGCCAGGTTGGCGCCCTTTCCTGGTGGCTCTTATTTATCCCATTTTCCCTGTTTGAAACTGATTTTAAGCTAGGCGCCTAAAATCTCAGCCCCCACCATCCCCCTTTTTCTGGGGATCTAATCCAGAGCCTTGGATTCTACCACCAAGCTAAACCTTCAACCCTGCCTTTCCAGCATTGTGATTTGGTCAGTGAACCTCCCTTGTGGCTCAGGGAACTTTCCTTGGATACCACAGTTTGCTATAAGACAGTAGTTTGTGTCTAAATACAGATGAAAGTTTTAGGGAGCTGGGTTGATTTTTGCTTTTCAGGCTAGGAATGTAATGTGTTGAAATACCTATGTGAATGTTTGCACAGAAGCAGATTTTCACACACACACACAATTCCATCCCCTGGCACTAGACTGTCTCCTTCTCTATGTCCCCCTTTTGTTCAATAGTCATACATTGTTTACCAGGTGTGGCGGCCATCAGCCCATATTCGGAACCTAAAAGGAAAAATATGATCACTGCCCGAAAGGTAAACACTTTGAGGTAAATGGATGTTTTCAATGTAATGATCTCGGGGTGGGGCAGCTCTACCCATCTAAGAGATGAGATTGAGATTTTAGAATATAAGAATAGAGGGCAGTGATGAAAGACCCTGAACTAGGAGTAAACCAACTGGCCAGTTGGGAACTCAAGAAAGTAAGCGTGTGTGTGTGTGTGTGTGTGTGTGTGTGTGTGTGTGTGTGTGTGTGCAGTGTGTGTGTGTGTGTGTAATTATACCAAGAAACAGGATTGTCTCATTCAGGCCAAGGTTATCCAGAAGAGAATTTGGATAGTGGGAGGAGTGATAGATCAGACAAGGCCACTCTAACCCATAGCTGCATGGGTTAGAGGAAAACAGAACAAACAAAGAAACAACCCCCCCATTGTTGTGTTGTGAAGGCACCTGTAGAGGCCACACCCTGCACTGCTTTTGGAACCATCCAGTCAAGGCATAGAGAGCTGTTGCTTACGATGTTCAAGCCTAGGACTTTGCCCGCTTCCTGTTGCCCTTCCTCTTACAGCTACAGCAATCGTGGAGACGATGTGAAGGATTTTCTTCCTTCTTTGATTTCCTGGGTATTTTTCCAGCTGCTATCTATGTTACTGCTGGCTCAAGGAATGTGTCCCGAGAACTTTCATCCTGAGGCATTTGTGCAGATAAAAGCATTAGACGTAAAAGTTTGATTTAATAACAGAGACACTGGCTACTGATTTTGAGTGTTGTCTTGGTATTTCTCTTTGCTAACCACCTCTCTATCTCAGCCTACCAATGGCAGCTGATGTGCCAGGCACTGCACCTCCCTCTCCCCCACCTAACCAGGTCCTCAGCCTGGACTGCTCATCAGTGAGTGCAGGACCCAGACCTGGAAGCTAGACCCGCCTCTCCTCAAGCCCTAAACACAAAACACAACCAGCCATGTACCAAGCCCCGCCCCCTCTCCTAAAGCCCCGCCCTAGATGACGCCTAACCTCTCCCCCTAGGCTCCGCCCATCACCTCAAGCCCCGCCCTCCCCGCTGGGACGCAGCGCGCGCCGTGACGTCTGCAGATCGGACTCCTGACCTGGCCTCCTCGCTGTGTGCTCGCCCTCGCCCGCGTCCTCCAGCGCAGGCCTGCAGGCTCCGACTCCGGTTTTGGGTGTGTTCTTACTTTGCGGGAATTGCTCCGCATGCGGCGGCTCGGTCGGCAGACTCGCAGGGCTCTCCGGTGCACTCTGCTGAGCTCGCTTCACCGGCACGCTCGCCGCTCCTCTAAAACGTCTGTTACTCCGCGGTTCCGATTCTCGCCTGGCCCGGGGACTCCCCGCCTTCCGCGAGTGGGAACCCAAACGCGCGTGCGCTGCTTCGGTGCTGCGGAGGGCTATTCTTAGAGAGCAGGAGTTAGTTACTTTGTAGGAGTGTAGCGACCAGTGCAATTGTGACTCGGGTTTCCGGGCATTTTGTAGTCCGTAGCTACAGCCTAACAGGAGTTGAGGATCGGATCCAATGGTTTCTGAAAGTTTGTAAGCTGAGTATTGACGCTTGCGAGGAAGCTGCATTCATCCTGACCCTCGGAGAGGATAAGACCTCAGTTGAGGCATAGACCGTTTGGTTTCTGATTTAGCAATCACTTAATTAACTGATGAAACAGCTTGGTATGTGTCCAGAGCTGGTCAATGACTCCTGCTCACTTCTGTGAGCTCGTGCTAGAGCGGAGGTTGTAGTACAAATGCTTGGTGCCTCTCCAGCACTTCCGTACACACGGAAGAAAGGCTTTACTTGTTACCCATTTACCTTCACCGGGTAGCACATCTAGGGCGGCCAGAGGCTGTGTGCCCAAGGACCTGTTTCACCAACACCCAGAGCTGTACTTTGAACTCATTTCTTTCTGACTGCCAGAGGCCTGAGTGTTCTAACTGCTCTGACCCCCTCCCTCCTCCGCAGGTGCAGGCCTGGTGTGGTCTCCCGAGTGACTGAACAATGCAGAAAGACAGTGGCCCGCTGTAAGTGCCCAATGCGTAGGAATAGAATCGTCCTAGAGCTTCTAAACCGGGGCATGTGACAGGAACCTTCAGCCTGGCACAGTCTAGGGGCAGCATGGGTTGTAAAACAATGCAGAAAGACAGTGGCCCACTGTAAATGCCCAATGCATAGGAATAGAATCGACCTAGAGCTTCTAAACCAGGGCATGTGACAGGAACCTTCAGCCCGGCACAGTCTAGGGGCAGCATGGGTTGTGGCATGATCCCTGGGTTTAATCCAGTTCAGCCCCTGGCTGGTTCTGTGAGTAGGCTTGTCACTCAGCCTCTCTCTGTTTCTATCTGTACAGTGACAGGAGTCGCCGGAAATGACCTTTCTGTTCGTTTCTTTGTGTGGGTGCACTTGGGCCATGTTGCATGTGTAGAGGTCAGAGGACAATTCATCGGAGTTGGTTTCCTTCTGCCCTGTAATGTAATCAGACTCAGATTGCCCCGTCCAGTGATTTTCGTGCTTTGTGTTTTAAACTTGGCTTCTCCCTTTTGCCATTTCAGGGTGCCTTTACATTATCTTGGCTTTGGCTATGCAGCCCTGGTTGCTACTGGTGGGATTATTGGCTATGCAAAAGCAGGTAACCCTTTCCTTTTCTGTTACTCTTTTGTCCATTGTCACCTTAGTCCAGTGACATGTGGGTCCCCGGGGTCCTGGAAGCCTGACTTTCCTTCACTCAGGTTTGCTTTAGGCCCCTGAGTGCAGCCTGTGTAGTCCGGCTCCTGGCTTTGGTTATGGTTATCTGGCCAAGCTAAGCCAGGCGTTTTTTTTTTTTTTTTTTTTGCCTGTTTACATACAGATAGGCAGAGGTGGTGGTGGATGGATGTTATCCTCCATTGCCATACACCAGCTCTCAATGTGCTATCTGTCAGCTCCTCAAGTAGGGCACCTCTTGTCTCTACTTACTCTGTATTATCTGTTTAACACCAGGTTCAAGCCAGAGCCTTGTGTGTTCAGACAAGCACCATATTGAGTCACACCTCCTAACTGGCTTGGTACGACCCCAACTCTGTGGTAGCCTCCCCAGAATCCCTCATGCTGGGAACCCTGTGGCTCTAAGCCTCGTTAGCTCTCTGAGTTTTCCACTGCAGGGGAGGGCAGTCTTGCAGATCCCGTATGTAATGTCCGATGTTACAAGCCAGATGTGTGGCCGTTTGCTTCTCCCCAGGTAGTGTGCCGTCTCTGGCTGCTGGACTCTTCTTCGGGAGCCTCGCAGGCCTTGGCGCTTACCAGCTGTCGCAGGATCCCAGGAATGTGTGGGTTTTCCTAGGTAGGTTTGTCCCAGGCTCTGCAACTGTGCTCCGCTTGGTTGTGAGACTCTGGTGGGCAGGTGTGGCAGGTTCTTTCCAAGTCACCTGCTTCTGCCAAGGTGCAGGTGGGTTTCATGGTGGAGAAGCCTGGGTGGTTTTCCTTTTTGTATACAGAATGCAGAAGGCTTTCATATAGCATGGATTTAATTTACCTGGTGAGATGTGTTTTAAACTGAGCTAGCAGTGTGTGTTAACTCCTGAAGTTTCATACTGAACGCAGACAGCCTGTTTGAAGCTTAGAGAAATCTCACACACCCCACGAGGCCTGAGTCCATGTAACCTTTTCCCCAGTTGGACATCTCCCACTTTTATGGTCGGTTAATTGTGTAAGACACAGACCCTGCCTTTGGGGAGCAGTCAAGCCCACTGGGAAGTCAGGTCATGTGACTCTGTGGAACTGCAGATGAGTGCCCTGGAGCAGCTCGGGTGGGGGTTTGAAGGGTGGGTGGGAGAAGGAGGCTTCTTTTTTTATTGTGTCTACTGAACAAAATAATATTCCAGAGTTTCAGTATCTTTATTTGCATAATGAGAATGTAGTTTTTCTTCCTCAATATATTTTTATTTAAATTAGAAACATGAATGCTTCACATGTCAATTCCAGCTCCCTCTCCCACCCCTCCTCCCTTGTCCCTCCACCAGCCTTCCTCCAGCCCCTCACCCAATCCTCACATCATTCCCCAGGGAGGTTGAGGCCCTCCTTGGGGAGATCTCCAGAGTCTGTCATTTCATTCAGGGCAGGACCTAGGCCCTTTCCCATGTGTCCAGGCTGAGAGAGCATCCCTCTATTTGGAATGGGCTCCCAAAGTTCATTCATACGCCATGATAAACACTGATCTACTACCCAAGGCCCCAGTGATTTCTGTGGCCTCCTCACGGAGACTACATTCTTGGAGTCTGGATCAGTCCCCTGTTGCCTCTCAGGCATCAGTCTGGGGTTCAAGAGCTCCCCCTTATCTGGTCAGCTGTCTTTGTGGGTTTCACCAACATCCCTTTGCTCATCACTCCTCCATCTCAGTCACTGTATTCCAGGAGTTCAGTTCAGTGTTTAGCTGTGGTTGTTTGCCTCTGCTTCCATCAGTCCCTGGAAGAAGGTTCTAGGATGTCATATAAGGTAGTCATCAACCTTATCATCAGGGAGGGTCTATTAATGTAGTCTCTCTGCTATTGCTTAGTTTGCCAGTTGGTGTTATCCTGGTAGATCTCTGGAGATCTCACTAGTGTCAGCTCTCTCCTCAAGCCTATAATGACTTCATCTATTATGGTGAGATGGTGGCTTCTTACAGTGATTTTTGACACAGTTTTCTTGATCTCCACCTTGGTGCTAGCTTTTGCCAGGGCCGTGGTACCTCTGTGCCTCTGATAACCACAGTGAAAGAACACGTGCATCTGTAACCCTCCCGAAGGGGTCTGTCACAGAGTGGGCTCTGCACACCAGCTTTGGGGTAGGAAGGGAGGCTGCACTGGGCTCTGAGTTCTTCCAAACAGCTTCCTCATGGTTTGGAATGTCTGACAGAACACTTCTACCTCTAATCCCAGCATTTTGCTCTCTTCAAGCCACCCCACTAACCAGTGTCACCTTTGCAGCCTTTGGCTTCCAGGCCATCCCCTTTTCCATTTCCCTCCTCTTCCAAGCTCTCCTTTCAGGGCTTTGGCTCCTGAACTGTGAACTGCCTAGGGTCCGTCACTTACTTGTGTGGGTCTGTCACTTACTTGTGTGGGTCTGTCACTTACTTGTGTGGGTCTGTCACTTACTTGTATAGGGTCTGTCACTTACTTGTATAGGGTCCGTCACTTACTTGTGTGGGGTCTGTCACTTACTTGTGTGGGGTCTGTCACTTACTTGTATAGGGTCTGTCACTTACTTGTGTGGGTCTGTCACTTACTTGTGTGGGTCTGTCACTTACTTGTGTGGGTCTGTCACTTACTTGTGTGGGTCTGTCACTTACTTGTGTGGGTCTGTCACTTACTTGTATAGGGTCCGTCACTTACTTGTATAGGGTCCGTCACTTACTTGTGTGGGGTCTGTCACTTACTTGTGTGGGTCTGTCACTTACTTGTGTGGGGTCTGTCACTTACTTGTGTGGGTCCGTCACTTACTTGTATAGGGTCTGTCACTTGCTTGTGTGGGTCTGTCACTTACTTGTGTGGGTCTGTCACTTACTTGTATAGGGTCCGTCACTTACTTGTGTGGGGTCTGTCACTTACTTGTGTGGGTCTGTCACTTACTTGTATAGGGTCCGTCACTTACTTGTGTAGGGTCTGTCACTTACTTGTGTAGGGTCCGTCACTTACTTGTGTAGGGTCCGTCACTTACTTGTGTGGGTCTGTCACTTACTTGTGTAGGGTCTGTCACTTACTTGTGTAGGGTCCGTCACTTACTTGTGTGGGTCTGTCACTTACTTGTGTGGGTCTGTCACTTACTTGTGTGGGTCTGTCACTTACTTGTGTGGGTCTGTCACTTACTTGTATAGGGTCCGTCACTTACTTGTGTGGGTCCGTCACTTACTTGTGTGGGTCCCTTCTGCTGCAGGGTCCTGCACATAAAGTTCACATGCAGTCAACTTTGACTCCTTTACAAAAGGAAGGCCCTCTGAGCTCACTTCCTCCTAAGTCACTGGCTTTCCCCTTTCCTTTCAGAGGCCTATCCTCATCCCTTCCTCGCTCATGAGGTGGATCCTGGATCCACTTCAGTCTTCATTTTTATTACCTTAGCTGTAGAAAGCGTTCCTCTCAGGTCTCACGGGTCTCTAGTCTGTGTAAAACTTGCTGTTTGCTGTTCAGCCTTTATTTTTTGTGACTGGAGTCTCTCCTCAACACAGGTGACCAATGCTTTTCTATCTGTTTTCCCCTTTGTTTTCTCTCTTCCTTTCTGACTAGTAAGCACTCTAATTAAGGCCTGGCTCTTCTCTCCCTTGACAGTGCTAAGGACGGTCTTGCCTTGTTTTCAGTACACAAATGGCTCACAAGTTTATCTGCTAAATCAGTGGTTCTCACCCCCACCACCACCACCACCAAGACAGGGTTTCTATGTATCTCTGGCTGTCCTAGAACTCTCTCTAGACCAGGCTGGCTTGCAACTCACAAAGGTCTGTCTGCCTTTGCCTCTAAGTGCTGGGACTAAAGGTGTGTGCCACTGCTGCCCAGCTTGGTTCCCAACCTTCTTACAATTCCTCATGTTGTGGTGACCCCCAACCATACAATTATTTCATTGCTACTTCCTAACTATAATTTTGCTACTGTTATCTTACTATAAATATCCAATATGCTGCTTGTCTGATATGGGGTCACGACCCGCAGGTTGAGAACGTCTGTGTTAAGCTTCTCATGCATGCAGATGTTTAAGCACATCTGTCAGGTCCACACACTTTCATGAGCACCCTGTCTTCTCCATGCATTCACCTTTGGGTTCTTCTTGCCCTCAGCCTCTGTCACTCAGCCCTCAGCAGCACTGCCTTCCTCCCCATCTCCATGGCCACCGCCTTCCTAGGCCTAGCTCTCTCCACTACTAAGCTGTGTCTGCAGATGTTTCCTTTTTTTTTTTCCTTTTGGTTTTTCGAGACAGGGTTTCTCTGTAGCTTTGGAGGCTGTCCTGGAACTAGCTCTTGTAGTCCAGGCTGGTCTCAAACTTACAGAGATCCGCCTGCCTCTGCCTCCCGAGTGCTGGGATTAAAGGTGTGCGCCACCAACGCCCGGCTTTTTTTCCTTTTTTGAATTTGGAAACCAGAGTCTCATTAAGTCGCCCAGGCTGTCCTTGAACTTATGACCCTCCTTCAGTCTCCTCAGTTCCCAGACTACAGACACACACCACCACCTGCTCTGGTTGCAGATACTGGCTAAGTCTTCCCTAGTTAGCCCTTTTGTAATATTCCCGAACCATCTGTCTGCTTCCTGCTAGGTCATGTGTGTAGCAATTGCTGTAGCACCAATTAGACTTGTATGTGAATCTTTAAGCCAGCTTGGATCTTGAGGCTGGAAACACTAGAAGGTTGTAGATATCATTGAGTACAGTCAGCTTAGCATACATATACAGTCAATGTTTTTCTGTGGAAACACTTGGTAGCCAGCAGTCAGAGCACGTAGGGTAAAGAAACTGTGTGGTGGTTTTGTGGAAGTAAAAGTGTGTAGGTCTGAAGCCTGGGTTTTACAGAACGATGGTGGAATTGAGGCCAGAAAGGCAGGCTGGGGGGGGAGGGTGACAGACTTTCAGACAACCAGTGCTCCTGGTTTTAGAGAGCTGTCATGATAGATGGCACGGTTGTAAGAGTGGCCCAACTCTTCGTGATGGGGTGTTTACACCACGAGGGGCCAGGAAACCGATAGTTGGAGACATGGGGTGGGCATAGCCTTCAAAGCCTCATTTTGGTGACCTGTCCACTCCCTAAGCTCCAAAGTAGTGCCCTAAGATGAGAACTAAGCACTCGAAATGTCAATCTGGGGACAGTTCAGGGTTAACCATAGCAGAGTGTGAAGGGCCAGTATTTGTATTTAGACCTGAATATTGTATACCGTAGTCAGGCTCAGCTCTCGCTCTCTCTCTCTCTCTCTCTCTCTCTCTCTCTCTCTCTCTCTGTCTCTCTGTCTCTCTCTCTCTCTCTCTCTCTCTCTCTCTCTCTCTCTCTCTCTCTCTCTCTCTCTCTCTCTCTCTCTCTCTCTCTCTCTCTCTCTCTCTCTCTCCTCCCCCCCCATCAATCTATCTCGGATGGAGTCTGGGTCTGGGCCTCTAAAGGTGAGTGGGTCCTCCCTGCCCTCCCGTGCATGTAGGGTGTGCTGACTTTTTGACTTAATCTTTCTCAGCTACATCCGGGACCCTGGCTGGCATCATGGGGATGAGATTCTACAACTCTGGAAAATTTATGCCTGCGGGTTTAATCGCAGGTGCCAGGTACTCTGCATTCCATTTCTCTTTACCCTGAGAGTGGTTGGTTTGCACTCAAGACGCTGCATACATCAGAAACGAGCTCACTTTGCTGTGCCCGATCCTAGACTTCAACTTCAATTTTTAAAAGGTTGTACATAAGTAGGAAAGGCTGCAAATGCAAACGCCTCTGTAGCTGATGTAGCACGTGTATGTTCATGCGTCATAGACATGATCTTGAATGTGCTCTCTGGACTGTCATAGACTCCCCTACATGGTGCTGTCAGAAGCCTCTGACCAAACGCTTGGGTGTGGCTGTGAGATGCCCATGTTGGTTCCCTGTTTCTTAGTTACTTGAGCCCTTTATTGAAAGTTTTGCTGAAAGGGAATTTTTTTTACTGAATCCCATTTTCCAATTTTAATTGTGAAACCTGAAACCAAACTGTCTTAAAGTGATAAGTTCTTAAGTATAATAATCACATTCTGAAGTAGGAGGATTAAACAAAACAAAAACAAAAATAAAAGCGACAACAACAAAACCTATCTCAGGAAAATAGATATTTGCTTCTCTTTGGCTATGGTTATGTTGTTGGTCGAAGTCTTTTTTGTTGTTTTGTTTTTTTCCAAATTCTGGCTGTCCTGGAACTAACTCTGTGGACCAGGCTGGCCTTGAACTCACAGAGATCCTCCTGCCTCTGCCCCTCAAGTGCTGGGATTAAAGGCACCCAGAGGTCTTTTACACTGGAAACATAACAGTCGTAGTAGGCCAAGGTCATGACCGCTAAACTGGGAGGCAAAGACCTACTTGGCCCTGTGACCCCTAAAGCCTTACTTGGTCTCTCTTGCCCTCATTTCCTCAGCGCTTTCAAATCATTGGCATTGGACTTGAGTACCCTGTGCCACTGGAAGACTTGGCGTGGGTTTTCTGGGCCTCCTTGGGGAATGATGTTGTCTTCCAACTGCTGCTTTCTCACGTCTCTTCATACACAGTTGTGAGGGAATTGCAGGCCTTGATCTTTTAAAGAAACAGCCACTGTTGTGTCCTTTCCGTAATCACTTGTTTTTTTTCTTTGACAGTTTGCTGATGGTTGCCAAACTTGGAATTAGCGTGTTAAGTTCTCCTCATCCATAGCAGCCAAACCCCTCTTTGGGCTCATGAAGAGTTGAAACTCTCCAAACTTCCACATTTACAATGTCTGAAGAAAAAAGTGCAGCACATTTACATATTCTGACATTTTTCCAATGTACACCGAGCACAATGAGGTGACAGTGAGCTTTTACTGTTGTAACTGCTCAGGGTAGCGAGTGTCTAACCTGGGAGCAGATGTTGCCCTCATGCAGTTTTATTCTTGTGGGATGGCATCTCTCCTTTCTGTAATAGTAGACAAGGGTAAAATGTGGGGTGTCAGCACTGGGGGCATCAGAGCCACGTGACCTGCCCAGAAGTGTGTGAAATTTCTTGGTGACATTTGTGATGTGGGATCTTTTGCATAGCTCTGCTAAGAAATTATGTTATAATGAAATACCAGTGAAAATAAAGCTTACTATTAAGAACATTTCTTTGGTGTCGCCTTCGGCGGAGTGTCTGGGTGTAGCCTGTGATGTGGGTAGCAGGACAGCGCATAGTGAACATCACACTTAGGGATTTCCCATTTGGAATGACTAAGGAAGGTTATTGTTTGTCTGTACATTGCCTGGAAGCTTGTTTTAAAAATGATTTGTGCCAGGCATTGGTGACGCACGCCTTTAATCCCAGAACTCGGGAGGCAGAGGCAGGTGGATCTCTTGAGTTCAAGGCCAGCCTGGTCCACAGAGCGAGTTCCAGGACAGCCAGAGCTGTTACACAGAGAAACCCTGTGCTGAACAACCAAAAAACCAAAAACACACCAGAGGGGAGGCAGGGAGAAAGAAAAAAGATTTGTGAACTACCTGAATGTAGTGGGGCATGGCTATAATTCTAGTACCTTAAATACAGAAGCAGGGTGATCTGTTCAGGGTCATAGTCAAGTTTTGTAATTTTGAAGCTAACCTGTACTACATGAAACCTGTCTCAAAAAAAAAAAAAAAAGCAAAACAAAAAACTAAAACCAAAACCAAAAACAAGCATGCATGCAAAAACCTTTGAAAATTCCTAAGATAGGACTGTAATGGAAACAGACTTAATGTCACACCTGTGCTTTAGTGCTTGACAGCAGGCTTAGTCCCTGTGGAAGCTGAGCTACCCAGCTGTGCTCACTGCTGCGCCTCTACCTTCTGAGCGCTAGGATTAGGGATGTTTCCCATCCACCATCCATCTCATCCTTAAATATGGTCTGGAAATCTACACCACGTTTATAGCAGATAGGATGTGTCTTTTTTCTATTTTTTTTTTTTTTTTTGGTTTTTTGAGTCATGGTTTCTCTGTAGTTTTGGAGCCTGTCCTGGAACTTGATCTGTAGGTCAGGCTGGCCTCTAACTCATAGACATCCATCTTCTTCTGCCTCCTGAGTACTGGAATTAAAGGTGTGTGCCACCACCACCTGGCCAGATAGGATATGTCTTGACATGTCTGTCTTTTTTTTTTTTTTTTTTTTTTTTTAGGCAGGATCTTTCTATATGCCCCAGAGAGGCCTTGAATTCACAATTCTTCATTTTCACGAGTGCTGGTATTACAGGATTTAGCATTCTTGAATTATAGTGCCCAGGATTTTATGCAACTGATCAGGGTACTGTATTATGGACTGCATGTTTCTGACTGTTTTCTCACTGAGACCCCAGGTCTTTTTTTTTTTTTTTTTCTCATGTTCTGCTGTAGTGACTGCTGGGAGAAAGGACTTGATTTATAGTTCCTTGTCATAGTGCTTGCCTTCCAATGTAGTTGTACCAAACCCATGACATAAATAACAGTATTAAAACCATTTACAGTTGAGTGGTGTGTAGTGTGGGTTCATTCTCTGGAGATTTAGATTTAAGTAATTATTTTGAGTGTGGTTATGCCATGTTGCCCAGGCTTGAATGTTGTTTGTGGTGCTGAGGATCAAATGTAGGGTCATGCATGAACTAGGTGATGAGGGAGGGTGGGAGTGGGCGGGATACATGGGACATGACAGGGACAGGGGAGGGAGAGCAGCCACGGGGTAGGGGTGATGGGAAAGAGGAGAGTCACAGAAACACCCTTCAAAAATGTCAGAACGATACTGAGCATACTACATGCTGATTAAAAAAAACATAAAAAAATAGTCACAACAAAATGGACCACAGAATATAAAGTTTAATAATAGAAAAATACACTAGTTAATCCTGTATATATTCAGAGTTCATGTTTCTCAGAAACACCACGGAATTTTTATTAGCCTTGAGACAATAAAATTGTACAAATACACGTAACCATCAGCACTAGGATAAATTACTATTTCAAGTTTAACATTTTAAACATGCAAAATATGAACAACTATGTCTTCTATACAAAAATATATGATTTGATAATGTGCCTCTGGGCAACGCCTACAAAATGATGTCAGTCATATCAGCATCTATTACAAAGCCATAAATACATAAAAATATCAACAGGCAATAACATTATTCTTTCAAAAGAATATACAGTACTAATCATGTCCAGCCCAGCAAATGGTAGGTTTAAAGTAGTCCTAACTTCAAAATATCTGTAAAAAAAAAAAACTTCGTAATAAAACTAAGCAAAACAATGAACTACATGAAACCCTGCCACGGCAGCTGAGCATGTTTGCCCGTGGCTGGAACGTGAGGTCAGAACCTAGTTAGTGTCCTGCAGCAGCAAGTTTGTCTGGGGACCAGCTGGCACACTTCACCTTTGTGTCTGGTAGGAACACAGAAACAGGAGTTGGAGAGTCCAATGGACAGGCATCAAAAGGTTTCCAGAATATCCTTACTGACAAGGTGACAAAAACCCTGGTGTGATTAATGTAGAACTTACCCAGCTACAGAATCTGATGGTCACCGTGAGTTCAGTTTGGTCAAGGTCCAACAACAGTACTAGAATCAGACTGCTCATCTCTAGAGGCTGGAGAGAAGTTTATTTCCTGCTAAGATATGCTGCTTACATGTGCCCCATCGCTCATCTCAGTTCCAAATGTAGGAAGCCAAAAGATAGCTTCCGTCTTTCTGACATTGCCAAGGTGGGGAAGCAGAGCCTCGGCCAAGCCCGCCCAGGGGCCTGCCTCACGCTATGGAACGTGAGCAGAGGCAAACTGCTTGGACCATTTGGTCTCTGCAGTGACCAGAATCACAATAGCTTAGGCTAACTAGACAGCAAGTAAGAGCGAAACTGTGCACTTGCTGCCCAGAGTCGTATCTTTAAAAGCTTATGCACTTATCTAGTAATTTGTAGGTCAAATACTTGGTACTTTGGCAAATAGTTTATTCAATACTCTGTAAAGTCCCGCTCGAAAACCTCAGCAAGGTGCTGCATCGGGCACTGTAAAGACAGCGCATTGCATTTCCAGGAAAGGAAGCAAACCTGAGCCAACCGCTGCTCTCCGAGGTACCCATGACGGCGTGTTTCTTGTGGAACTCAGTGGAAATAGACTCTGTAGACATCTCCCAGGGCTAGGGGCTTGGTAGTCCTCTGTGGAGCGATGCTTCCGGGTTTTCACCTCTCCTACCGGTGGCCTCCATACTTAGCCACCCAGTCCGTCCTCCCGTGCACTGAGGGTACCGGCTGTGTGCGGTTCACAATGTGGAGATTTTTTGCTGTGGGATTGTAAGTTCTCCCTGAAAACTGGCCTCGGCTGGGTTTTGTGTTCCAGGCATATTCTGAAAGAGATCAGAATTTCATTCATTTGATTATCAAGTTCAAAATAAAGCAACTCATCTTCATTTTGTAGGGAAGTGTGGATTTGTCTTTAAAAGCTGTAGAGCAAATGTGAAGGTTTGCATTTAGTTCAGGTTCGGTGTCTTTTTCTTTCTTTCTTTCTTTCTTTTTTTCAGGCCAGTTCTTGCTATGTAGCTCACACTGTAACTCACTTCGTAGCCCAGGCTAGCCTCATCCAGGGTCAGTTCATCTTTACTCTCCCAGCAATAATTACAGGGGTTCACCATCATGCTGGCTAAAGCAGAAACTCCAGTGGGGTATTACACAGACAGACATTAACTAGAATTTTCCATGGTATAAGAGCCAGCATTTCTGATTTGTCATTTAGATGCTGCCACTCTTAGCTAGCTAGCTAACTGGGAGTGAATTGACCAGGAGACATCCGTGTTCTTTAGTGAGCTGCACTCAGTGTGGTGACTACCTCACACTGTGGTTGTATTCTAAATAACAGTCAAACACGGTATCTATGCTAAAGACATAACTTGGAACTGTGTGGAACTCAGGCTTCATAAAAGCTGCACATATAAAGAAGTTCTGTAGTCTTTTTTATTTTTGAATGAAAATGTGCTGTTTAGAATTTAGATTTCTCTTAACTTTTCTTTAAGATACTACTATATAACTCTGGCTGGCCTGGAGCCTGCTTTGAAGACTAGGCAGTCCTAGAGCTGCCAGAGACACGCCTGCCTCTACCTCCTGAGCCCTGGCATCAGAGGTGTGTGCTGTGACATCTGACTCTACTTTTCCTTTCCTTTCTTTTTTTCCTAATTATTACTTATTATGTATACAGTGTTCTGTCCAAATGTCTGCCTGCATGCCAGAAGAGGGCATTAGACCTCATAATAGATGGTTGTGAGCCACGATCTGGTTCCTGGGAAGTGAACTCAGGACCTCTGGAAGAGCAGTCAGTGCTCTTAACATCTGAGCTGTAGCCATCTCTTCAGACACTCATTTTTTTTCTTTCTCTCTCCCATCCCCTCCCTCCTCTGCTTTCCTTTCCCTCCCTTCTTCCTTCCTTTTGTTCTTTTTTAAGAACTAGGAACAGAAGCCAGGTATTATGCACCTAGATAGGCAAGAGCTCCACCAGTGAACCATAACCCAGCTTCAAGAGCTTTTTAATTGGTAAAACCATGGGTGATAACACAAACCCTCAAAGAGAAATCTTTTGAAAAAGATTTGTTTTTGCTTTATGGGTATGAGTGTTTTGCCTGTATATATGTATGTGTACCAAGTGTGTACAATGCCCAAAGAGGTCGGAAGAGGGTTTCAGAATCCGTGGAACCTGAAGCATAGGCAGTTGTGAACAGCCATGTGGTTGATGGGACTCAAACTTGGGCGGTATTCAAGAGCAGCAAGTGCTCTAAGCCAATGAGCCATCTCTCCAGCTCCAATCAGTAATTTTTAGAGGAGCCCAAATCTTTAACCACAAGGTTTACTTTACGTGTATATGTGACTGTGTACTGATTTGTGAGAGAGGCTGGGTGAGTGCCCATGGGCTATTATCCTTCATTTGAGAGAGAGTTAAAATTTGTTAAACATTTGATATTTGAACAAGCTGAAATTGCTTTAAAATCTCCAGTGACCAAGGCATAAGTTATTATCCAGGGACCTAGAAAGTCTTCAGTTCCTCCTCACCCCACGCTGAGAGTCAGGTTTCACGGACGGTCTGCACGAGGAGGGTACCCGTATTTGCACAAGGCTTTATCTTTTCACACTGTGCAGCCGCTGATGCTCTCCGAGTAAACTCAGCACCAATGCTGGGATGCACCTGGCCATTCCACATCTTTCACAGCTGTGATGCTTGTCTGGTTTACATGAGCAAAAAGCCCTGGGTCACACTGGCATCCTGACTGCTATACATAGTGTTTGGGGTTGGGGTCGGGGCATGCTGTCAGTGGTCTGGCAGGTCACTTCATGCTTCGCTTACTGGGCTCAGAGAATCAGCTGCCTAGACAAAAGTCAGGGTTATGTATCTAGAAGGGTCAGTGGAGGGGACTGTTTTCCAGAATAGCTGTAACTGTTGGAATATGGAAATCTCAGTAAGTGCATTCACACTGGTGGCCTCAGGTCCAAACAGTCACGTGTGGAGTAAGTACAGAGCCTGTGAAGGGATAGTGGGAGAGGAGGTTCAGAGAGGCTGAGGAAACACATTAATTGTATACGACTCTGGACACTAGGGAAACTGACTCAAGGCTCTTCCTAGAGACCATGTAAGCAATAAATAGTTGTGGGGTGGGGTGGGACTGGTCATGTAGCTAGCTGCCTGCTGGTTGTGCAGGAAACCCAGTGACATAGCTTTTGTGACTTGGTACCCATGCTTGGGGTGGGCTTCTCAACAGTCCAGATGTCAGGGTTACCCCAATAAACTCCCCAAGCTCAACTTGGATGGCATCATTTCCTGGATCTGTGGCTGCCCGCTCTATCTGGGGCAAATGAAATCAGCTCCTCAGGAAAATCATCCAGCTCTGTGGTTTCTGTGGGCGGCTGTATACATAGGCCACACCCCTGGTCTTGTGACTGTCAAGGCAGGGGATGAGCAAATATTAGGGGCTTTGAAAGGAGAGGTTAAATGGGAGGGTATGAAGGCATTAGTTTGATTTTTTTTCTTTGAAAACTTGAGGGTAAGGGGAACAGAGAGGGAGTCTATGAGAGGGGAATGAATAGTCGAGTAAATACGGTAATGACCTGGTTGTGTTTCTGGTGGGACCCTGGAAGGCAATGTTTTCCTAATGGGTTGCATGCACCACTTGGGAGGGAGCAAAGCTTACTTCTTTTTTTTGCCTCTCCTCCTATCACTGGCTGGCGGGAAATCTGAGAAGCAGAGTAAAGGAGGACATGGAGAGTTATGAGAGAAATTGACTTAAAAAGTAAAAGCAGGAATATGCATGGTCATCTCGCAGATTTGATACAGAAAAGACTTAAGTAGTTTTATTATTTATTTTTAATAAAAGACCCACTCTCAGCTTCTAAAAGTGAGTACCCAGATAGCAAAGTACTTCTAAACATCATGTTTTGCTTTTTATACTAAACATGGATGCTTAGTCATAGTTAATGACTCATTGTAAAACTGGCCTAAAGCTTTCGAGGCTTCCTAAAATCCATGTTGTATATATGTGCTTGCCTACATGGGTGTACATTGTTTTAGAAGAGACATTGGCACACTCATTTTTTAAGGACTGATACAACACATGAGTACCGTTTAGGCAGCCTACTGTGGGAAGAGGTAAAAGCCACCCGTTGCCCCTGCTCTCTCCCTTTCCAGCTGCCTTAGATGCTTTTCCTGTGAAAGATGGGCACATCCAAGCAGTCATCTCAGTGGGAGGAGGTTCTGGTGGCACAGTAGGGAGGGCACTTTGGACTTGGGAGGAATCCTAAAGTAAACTTTTGATCATTTGCCTTACTGTTTACTTCAGGTATGTCACAGAGGGTACCTAGTTTAAATTACAATAATTTCGAGAATGCTATTCGTCATGAAATCCGGGAGGCTCAGAGCAACACTTCCCATTTCTCTCCACTGTCTTTCTTACTATGCAGCCCAGGCAGGCTAGGGCTTCTGACTCTCCTGCCTCAGCCTCCTATGTACTGGAATGTGAGGCAAATACCACTATGCCTGGCTTGTCACCCTTTATTTTAGTAGTGGCTTTCATGCCTTGTGTTGTTAGACCCCTCAGAGGTGGAGAGAACACTGTCGTGACACCTGATATTGCTTCTTTTAACAAAGGCAGGTGCGTGCGTGCGTGCGTGCGTGTGTGTGTGTGTGTGTGTGTGTGTGTGTGTGTGTGTGTGCGTGTGATGAATCCCACCTCTTAAACAGACCCCCCGAGCGAGCACTGCCAGGAAACTCACAAGTCAAGCACATTGGTTAAGATTTTGCTTTACGCCAAGCACCAGGCAGAAAGCTCTGAGGAGTAAATACGTCTTCACACATCTCACTAGAGTAAAGCGGCTCTTAGGAGGCAAGCAGCTAGTATGTATCTTCCCTGGCCTCAGGCCCAGAAGGAGGGTCTGCCTCATAAGGCGAGTGTGAGCACAGGGCAGACGGTAACCCCGCCGCTCACTCTAGAAAGCTCTTGATATCACTATGTGTACAATCTGTATTGTTGTCACAGTCTGTCTATGTCACTGAAGCAGCTGCTGCTGTGTCTTGCTGCTGTCCCGTAGCCACATCCCCAGGGCAGCGCTGGGCACTTCAGGCTCCTCTGTCTCACTAGCTGTCCCTCCTCTTTGCCACTCCTCACAGGGCTCTGTGCCTTCCTTTGTCAATGCTGATGCTTCTTGGGGTCTGTCTATTCTGGGGCCAACCACTAGGCAGAAACCATGGTGGGAGGGGTACGACTTCGAAGTGTTAACATCGTGAGACTAATTTAAACGTCTTCACGGACCTCATAATCTTAGAAGGCAAGCCTCTTCCAGTACAAAATCTCGGACTGTTGCAGGAGATCGCTCTTACCGGAAGCCGTCGCACCAAGAGGTGCCAAGTGGATCCTCTGGCCAGCTGACCCCACTTCTTTCTTGAGAAAGGAATGCATGTATCCTGTCTGGTTGTGAGTGGTGTAGCTTCCAAGGTTTCCTGCCGATGCATCAGGGGGTTGGGTCAGAAGGAGGCTTTTAAGGTGCTGAAGAGTGACTTTGACTACTACCCTTCTTACTTGGAAATGCCATTTTATGAGCTGCTGTATTCTAGGCACCAGGCTATGCCTGTCACAGAAACTCTTACTCAGTCCCTGGAACAGCTTGGGAGCACTATTTCAATACCCCTGTGGTTCTGGTAGTGGATGACTTGCCTGAGCTGCCACAGTTAGCAAAGAACTGAGTCCGGATCTGAACCCTGAACATACTAAGCTTTTCGATGACATCGGTTCTTTGTGTGTGTGTGTGTGTGTGTGTGTGTGCCCGTGCGTGCGTTCGAGCATGTGTGAGCACTCTGCCCCAGGAGTCCCCTGTGCCTTTTCTTTGTCGGTCTAGCTGCCAAAAGTGAACATATTTATAGGGTTTTAGGTTCTGAATATATAGGAAAGCTCTTTCATAGAATCAGGCAGTCAATAAACACTTGTCATTCAGTCTCACTATCATCTCTGTTAGCAAAGATCAGTCTGAAGGGCGGGTTGATGGGGTCTAAAGAGCACAGTAATGACGTCACTGCTATTTTGGAAATGAGAGAGTAGGTAGGAAGCAAGCGGCCATATGGGGCTGGAGAAGAGAACGCTGGGTGGGTTTACAGTGTGTGTGGGGGGGGAGCTAGGAGTAGGGGGATAGAGCTGGGGGTGGCTAGGATGAGGGGATAGAGCCTCTGTGTTTGTAGCCTAGGTGACTGGATGGCATGCATTAGAGAGCAATATGGGAGGAGAATCAGGGTTTGGGGAAGGAAGTGTGGAGGAGGAGACTCAGGTCAGGATGGGGGAAGTGGCTTGGAGATGAGTGATGTCTGGAGGATGTGTCATCCTGTGGTTGTTACATCTGTACAACTTATGCAGCAGGCTACATGGACCAGCCTCAAGCCTTCTCACTTCCCAGTACTCACTGTGACCCACTAATCCATTCTGTTACTTCAAAAGGCTTGCCTGATACTCTGTAGCTGAGGGTGACCTTGAACTTTTGACCCTCCTGCTTCTACTCTCCTGTGTGCAGCCATTACACACAGGTGTGTATCACCACGCCTGGCGTAAGAGGTGCTGGGGCTTAAACGTATGTTAGGCAAGCTGAACTACACCCCCCAAAGCCTCAAAAGACTTGGGAAGAAGTTTAAAGTCATGCTCACATCCGGTAGGTAGTCCCTTCAGAGTGTACCCTTGCTCATCTTCACCATGGCAAGGTGAATACGGTAACTACTTGATTATACAAGCACCAGGCACAGCTGTGAAATGATAGCTAAGTAAATAGCATTCCTTCCATCCTGTAGATGGAGAAACTGGCTTAAATAACCAACTGAAAATAAAAATGGTAGCTATATGGGAACAAGGCAGATCCTAGAAGCCATGTACTAGGCAGCTATCCACTGCTGTCTTAATGCCAAAATACTTCACTAAGAATAAAAGAACCTGACAATCAATTCTTACATTATTTTGGCTTATTATATGAGGTGCCTGTTTGCTGCAGGGTTTTGTGTATGTCAGACTGGGAGGTTTTTAGGCTGGACGCTAGTCACTGGATTGTGGAAACCACTAATGTCAATAGAGTGGTTTTTGTGATTTTTAGACGTTGCCACAACTAATTGATGGCGTAATTAGAAAGGCAAGCATAGAGCATTTTGAAAGGAAGGCACTCTGGAGGGCTCAAAAAAGTTGCTCTTCCCATCACCCCTGAGCAGACCCTGGAGCAGGTCCCCTTGGCCTTCTGTGAGAGGCTTGGGGCTGAGACTGAGAAGAGAACCAGTGAGTCAAAGCAATCAGCCCATTTACATACAGTGCCCAGGAATTAGTTACCTTGTGGGTCCTCTAGCTTCTCAGCAGACTTTTCAGTGCATGACAGTTTTTCAATCGGCTTAATTATGCTTTCTTCTAAAAGAAGGTGGGTGAGAGAAAGCAGCTCGGAGAGTGTTAAAGGAGAGCAGAGGAAAAATGGGTTAGATGGTTAGTGGAGAGATCCAGAAAGAGCTCTACAATGAGAAATGCCTCCATGTGCCTTCACAGCTTCCCTGTGGTGCTGACTGGAAATTATGACACTCAAAACGACAGCATCATCATTTGAATTGATCTGTGTAACTTATAGACTCTGGGAATATTCTTTTGAAACAGCTGAAAGAAATGGATTGCAGAGGTGTAGTCTGGTGCTCCAGCCTTGTTAAATGGGCAAGCTGAGTTCTTAGATGGTCTAAAGAACTTGTGAGAAGTCTGTAAATGAAAGTACCTCCAAACTCAAAACCCAAACTCCACCTATGTCCAGGATTCTATGAGGCGAGATGACTGGCCTGTAAAGAGTTAGAATGTTACAGCCCAGAGCCAAGATCTTTGTTTCTTTTTAGCCCATTTACAAGACATTTATTGCCCACCCCATGTCTGGCTTAACATCCTTCGAATGTAACAAAATCCATAAAACACATTCTTATAGATCAAGAGTGTCTACCAAACCAAAAGCTAAGATGCCATCGATAGCATGTGGGACCTATTGCAGCGTTCTATCCTCACCCACTCCTGTCACCATACACACACACACACACACACACACACACACACACACACACGCACGCACGCACGCACGCACGCATGCACGCGTGCGCGTACAAAGCATCTCACCAATATATTTGGCAAATGCCTTTAATTGTGACTTTCTCCAATAATTGGTAAAATCTCATGTAACCACTTTTAGGTTGGAACGTGTTACCCAGGGCAACCTGAATTTGTTTTCCCAGCCATGGTTATTCCTATGTGACTCAAGAATGAACTTCCTCTTACTCCATTTGATGTGACATCTGGGTTTCATGTGAACAAGTCAAGGGTATTGATGTGACATCAGAGTGCTTACTAGACTGTCCGCGTGCTGTAACCACCATCATCAAACTTCTCTCACCAGCTGTGGTGGTTTGAATGTAACTGGCCCCCATTAGCTCAGAGGGAATGGTGATAGGGATGTCCTTCTGTATGCTATGAATATATGTTTCTCTTATTGGTTGATGAATAAAGCTGTTTTAGTCAATGGACAGGCTGGATTTAGCCAGATGGGAAATCTGAACAGGGATAAAGAAAGGTAATAGGCAGAGTCAGAGAGACCATGTAGCTATCAGGAAGGTAGAATGCCCGGATATTCTCTGGTAAGATAAGGCTATGTGAAGATACAGATTAATAGTTATGGGTTAATAATTAAGAAAGAATTTGCCAATAAGAAACCTAAGCCAAACAATTATAAATAGATATTAAGTCTCAGAGTGGTTATTTCATAGCCGTTGCAGGTACCGATTGGGTGGAGAAAAATTGGTCCAGTGGGACTGAAGCTAGACGGAGAAAATCTCCAACAGAGTGGCACTAACAGGAGGTGTGACTTTGTTGGAGTAGGTGTGGCCTGTTTGGAAGAAGTGTGTCACTGTGAGTGCAGACTTTCAGGTCTCTGATGCTCAAGCTGCTACCAGTATCACAGTCCACTTCCTGTTGTCTGCTTATCAAGATGCAGTCAGCACCATGTCTGCCTGCACACTGCCATGCTCTCTGTTGTGAAGATAATGGACTGAACTTCTGAAGATGTAAGCCACACAAATAAATGTTTTCCTTCATGAGAGTTGCTGTGGTCATGGTGTCTCTTACCGCAGTAGGAACCCAAACTGAGACAGTAGTACTACTCAAATTTTTAAGAACTCAGTACTTCACACACTTTTCAGTTGATATCTAAATCATCATGGACATTATAAAACCAATTTTATCTCTCTTTTAAATGAAGTCTAAATGTCATAATAAATAACAGTCTGTCAGAACTGATGGAAAAGCACAAAAGAGCAAACACCTTTTCATGGGTGAAAATTGCATGTGCATCCCTTACCTCTAAATCCTACTTTAGCTTCCAGACTTGTCCAAATAGAATTTTTGGCTTAAAAGTATAAACCCATCACTCAAAAATTGTGTATGCGAGAATGTAGAGTTCTGTAACCATAGTAAATATATTTTCCCATATTGTTAAATTGTAACAATTCATCGCATATAATTAATTAAAAAGATAATATTATAAATTTTGATTACTAGGCATGGAAGGAAGGTAAGTATTGTTGGGAGCACAGTTTAATGAGGTGTGCTCTTCAAGTGGTCTGTATTCCTGCAAATGAGTGTTTGTTAGAGGAGCAGGCAAGGGCTCAGCCATAGCTCTCTTCTCTTGTCTTGTCTTGATTTCCACTTTTGCAGACAGAAGCCTGGGGAAACCTTGTTGATGTGAATACTTTGCTGAGAATCATTTTGTTACTCTTCTCCACACTCCAGATTTATGGATCATAACTATGTAATGATCTATGACAACGGCTTTTAATTCATTGTCAGTAAGCAGTTCATTTTCTAGATGCTAAAAACCAGAAACCCCTTGACTTTGGGGGATGAAACAATGTAGTCTCTGTGACTACCTCTGTGTAGCCCAGGATGGCCTCAAACTCTGGGTCTTCCCAGCAGTCACCCAACTTTTACAAGGATTGGCTCCCCACTCATGAGGGTTACCTCCTTTTTCAACATATCGAACTGTCCCTTTGACAGGCACCTTGGGCAATTTTATTCAAGTTAGCCAGTGAGGAGTCTTTTCCATTTGTGAAGTGGTAGAACTAAAGGGTGTCTGATAAGAGGCAGAGTCACTTAGAAAGGACCCTGGATGAGGGCTGAGGAACAGGAAACTATCTGTGCTCAAGGATTATTTGGATAATTTTGCATGCTGGCTTCTCCCTAGGGTCACACAGATCTCCACTGGGCAATGATGCCCACGGTATATTTGCAACCAAACACTGGACATTGATAGGTGGCATGTATCTGTTACCTGCATTATTCCTCTTGAAAGCAAGCTCCGCCCCCATGGATCCCAACGACTTAGGAAATAGTTGATTACTCCAAGGGTGTGAGTTTATATCCTTGCCACTGGCTACCAAAGACACATTCTTGGGATTCACACCTAAGAAGAACAAAGCAGTCATTTTCAAGGTTAGAGTGTGAATGTGAACTGGAAGGAAGATTTATGTTTAATCGCAGGCTGGACATCCTGGGGACAGGAGGCTAGGGATAAAGGTGGGTTAAGGCACAGCCAATGTTTGCACCTTTCTGTGAACTTTATCATGATCCTGAGCCCTCAGCACAAACCTGGAATACTGACAGCACACACTTCACCACCTGTAATATAAATAGCAATAAACACTTGACACTCCTGTGAAACACCTCATAAAAAACAAGGAGGAACATTTTCCTGCAAAACCATGATGGTTCCATATCCCTCGCTTGCTTCAAATGCATACCTGGGCCAGACCCTCAGTGAACAGTCAGCATAGTAGCGAAGACAGATGTGACCAGGGACTCAGGGAAACCCAAGAAGCTCTTACTACTGGGCATAGCAAATACCAACAGCTCATCACCTGGGGCTGAAAAGGTACTGAAGGTGAACTTGGTAGGAGGGTTTTTTCTTTTTTGATTTTTTTAAGACAGGGTTTCTCTGCATAGCCCTGACTGTCCCAGAATTCTATCTACAGACCAGGCTGGCCTTGAACTCACAGAGATCCAATTGCCTCTGCCTCCCAAGTGCTGGGATTAAAGATGTGCGCCACCACCAACCAGCTGAGGAGGATGGATTTTATTTTGTTTTTCTGAAATCTGACATGTCAGTTCCGTCTTGGGCTTTTCGATAATGGTCAAAGGGAGTCTTTGCAACTTGTTCATACAAAATCTGAACATGTCCTGAGTTTGATTGCTTTTGAGGGATGATTACTCAGATGAACTGGCAGCTATAGCGGTCTGAGCCTGTGGGTTACATGCCGGCGATGTTACCAGCTACAGCCGATGTCATCACTGATGCAGTCAGAACTGTTCCCTGGTAGGCTAAGCTTCCCCGCTCCCATGCTGACTTCCTTAGGAAGACTTCATGTGTGTGAGACATAAATAGTGTGTCTTTTGAAACCAGAACTGTGGAGCTGGAAGAGCCCATTGTTGGTTCTCTGAGGAAGCACCAGTTGAGTAAATGGCTTCCCTGTCTTACAGGACTAAGCCCTGTGGATCCAACTTCTGATGGAGCTCTTACAAATGGAGAGACAATGGGCAGTTATCTGACAAAGAAGATGCCGTACATGAAAGGGGAGGGGCCATTTGAGGGACAGGACAGGGCTGGCAGGAGGGTCTGTAGCAAGGAAAGGTTAGGAAGGAGCAGCTCTGAGCAGCCTTGGACATGTATGAAAATGTCATAACTAAGCCCATTACATTTTTGTATTAACTTAAAAACTGAGATTGAAAAGGAAGGAGCAGCTCTGAGCAGCCTTGGACATATCTGAAAATGTCATAACTAAGCCCATTACGTTTTTATATGAATTTAAGAAACTGAGATTGAAAAGGAAGGTGCAGCAGGATGTAACGTCTTGCATTACAAGTTTTACTCAACCAGGCCAGGTGGTGACACACGCCTTTAATCCCAGAACTTGGGAGGCAGAAATTTGGTGGATCTCAGTGAGTTTCAGGCCAGCCTGGTCTACAAAGAGAGTTCTGGGACAGCTAGGGGTGTTACACAGAGAAACCCTGTCTCAAAAAACCAAACCAAAACCAAACCAAACCAAAACCAAAACAAAGAAAAATATTTCTATTTATACATTTATATTTTTGTTTATTCCAATATTAAAGTCATTTAAACAAAAAATGGCACTCTTATTAAACTGCATTTTATAGCCTGTAGGATGTCTTGAACTATCTAGAATTTTACTCTAGATTTCAGAAAAAAAAAGCCAACAGGTATGTTTTTCTTTTCCTTTTATTTTTGGTATTATATTATAATTACATAATTTTCCCATTCCCTTTCCTCTCTCCAAATCCTCCAATATTACCTTCAGTACTCTTTCAAATTCAAGGCCTCTTTTTTCATTAATTGTTACATGCATTTATGTACATGTATGTATGTGTTCCTAAATATAGCCAGCTCAGTCTGTATAATGTTACTTGTATGTTTTCTTGGGCCGACCATTTGGTATGGCATAACCGATTGCTGTGCCCTTCCCTGGAGAAAATGATTTCTCCTACTCTCAGCATTCCTTAGTGGCCTGTAGCTCTTTGGTTGAGGCCTTATGGTCCTCTACTTGCCTCCTACCTACTTTTGACAAGTCAATTGTCCTTGTTCAGTGCATGGTTAGGCTGCCATGTTGTTGAGACTTTATGGGTGTAGATTCTGACATTCCTAGGAGACACAGTCTCACAGCAAGCTCCCTGTTTCTCTGGCTCTTACAGTCTTTCCACCCTCTCTTCCACAGTGTTCCCTGGGCTTTAGGTGTGAGAGTTGTGTTGTAGGTGTATCCATTGGGACAGGGCGCCACATCTCTGCATTTTGATTGGTTGTGGTTTTCTGTAGTGGTCTCTGCCTGTTGCCAAGAGGTTTCCTTGATGAGGGGTGAGGACTACACTTATCTGTAGGTATAAAGGCAAATATGTAGAGTGCAATTAGAGATCATGCTGGTTTAAGAAAGTGGTGGTTTTACATTCTCCTCTTTGACTTCAGTAGCCCTAGCTAGGCACATCCACTAGTGAAGATAACTGTTTTAATTCAAGGATAAACACACTCTAAAAATCACACCAATAGTGAAAAAAGCAATTTTAAGCTAAACCACGACCCCAGCCAGGTTTGGTGGTATGCTCCTGAGTGAGGCAGGGTGAGTCAGGATCTAACCAGGAGAGAGCTCAGGGATGCACAGTACCGAGACGGCAAGGACAGAGTGGTGGAGAGGGGAGTAGGTAACCCATTCTGTGGCTGTGTGTTAAAATGGATCAAACAGGATAGCACAGGGATTTCAAAGGGCACAGAACTAACAGGCTCCTAGGGCAGATAGTGAGAGATCCGTGGGAAAGAGAAGGTTTCACAGAACAGGATTTCAAAAGTACTATGGAATGAGTCGGTCCAGTGTCTGGCTTTGACCTATATTCTTAAAATTCATGTTGGGAAGTGGGGCATGAAAACGGGGGTGTTTTAAGCGCCAATCCTTTGCCAGTGACTTAGGGCAGGTCATTCATACCACGAGATTGCTAAACCAGTCATTGAAATGCCCTGCATTTTTTTTCTTCTTTTCTCTTTTTCCTTCTTCTTTTTGGTTTTTCAAGACAGAGTTTCACTGTGTAGCTCTGGCTGTCCTGGAACTCGCCCTGTAGATCAGGCACCTACCTGCTTCTACCTCCCAAATGCTGGGGTTTAAGGCGTGTGACGGCACCACCCTACTTTGTAGTTATTCCGACAGGGAGTATTCCCCGTGTGTCTGTTCCAGAGATTTTTCGAGACAATGTTTCTTTGTGTAGCTTTGTAGACCAGGCTGGTCTGGAACTCACAGAGCTCCACCTGCCTCTGCCTGTGGATTAAAAGCTTGTGCCAACAATGCTTGGCTGTCAAGTGGTAAATATGAAGTGGTAAACTTTCTCTACTTACCTGGAAGGTATCTTGATTGTTTCAAATAGTACTGCTTAGCTGTTGAAGCAGTTGATAAGTTTGTATCAGACTTTAAGGAAACAGCCCCATGTAAACTTCTGTTTTCCCCCTTGGAGTGGGTGGAGCCTGGGGGTCCGGACTCAGGAAACCTTGAGAATCAACACAGGGCACCAGTCAGTGACTCCTGCCTAATTGGGTTGAATGGGGGCTCTTCCCAAGTTCAAGTGCCGTAGGGAAGAAAATGTGCCGAGTTTAGACTAAGAGCCAGAATGATCCATGCATGTGCACCCTCAACAGTCTTTATGTGTCTTCAGAGAAATGACCCACCTACGTGTGCTCTTGACAGTTTTTTTTAATGTGTCATCAGAGGTATACAAGCTGCAAAGTGAAGATGTCTGCACTACACAATACCAGCGTTCCCCTGACTTGGTGACATGGCATGTGCACCCTCAACAGTCTTTATGTGTCTTCAGAGAAATGACCCACCTACGTGTGCTCTTGACAGTTTTTTTTAATGTGTCATCAGAGGTATACAAGCTGCAAAGTGAAGATGTCTGCACTACACAATACCAGCGTTCCCCTGACTTGGTGACATGGCTGTCCTTCTTACTCTGTTTCTGTTCCAAGGAGAAAAGAAAATGAAAGTATGTTCCCCAAAATTTAGCTCACTGTAATCAGAGCCGAATAATGCATGGATGATGACCTAACTCCTGAAGACAAGGATCTGCTGGATACTGAACTTCTAGGAAAGGTCCAGAAAATGATTTCCAAATGTTTTAACAGGAAGCAATAATGATTAACCCTTAACATCATCAGAGAGAACCATTAACTATGTATGTGATGCTCTGTATTCTGCACACAGAAATGTGAACTTCAGGTGGGAATACAGATGTTCACAATTCACTGGAGTGAGCTGGGTGTGGCTGGCTTCTACCTGTGGCCTGAGCTACTCGGGAGATAGGGAGGGAGGACTACTCCAGTCTACAAGTTTGAGCTCTGCCTGGGCAACATAGCTAGACTCTGTCTCAAAAACAAAACAACAAAAACCAACCAAAACAAAAAACCACAAGCATAACATAAAGGCTGAATAAGAACTTTGTCCTACACACACATGTACACACTGCTAGCTAATTCATTACCGTGAAAAGTCAAGATTCTTACCTTTTTGGGGGTACAAATAAAGATTTCTGGGATTTGTAGAAGAAAGCATTAATCTTTGTGGTCATATATTTAACGGGTGAAATAAGGTTGACGTGTGGTAAAATATATTTCCTGGTGACTGTGCAATCTTACCGAAATGAAGACTCTTTCTTCTTTTCCTTGAAGGCACCCATGCTCGGCTTCTTGGAATGGGAGGCTCCCAAGTCACAGTCCTCAAAGTCACAGCTGTCTCCAGACTTGAAGACCGTCTGGCCCCAGCGTCTCCGAGCTCCTTTGTGACTCAGTGTGCAGGCTGGCTTCTGTGGTGAAAAAGAATCAGCCACCAAAATCCTAAATTAGCTAAGATTTGCACAAGCAATTAGACAGCAAGTGTCTTAATCCTCAACTATCTCTCCCTTTACAATTAGGTGTCACTTAATGAAAGGATATGTTCTGAGAAATGCATCACAGGTAACTGTCATCACGAGACATCATAGAATGTACTTAGAGTGCTCGCTTTGGCTGCGCATATGCTAAAATTGGAATGATACAGAGAAGGTTATCATGGCCCCTGTGAAAGGATGACACGCAAATTCCTGAAGTGCTCTATATTTCTAAGATTGTGTCATACTGGCAAATAAAACTAACCATCACTGGGTACCAGAGGTCTGAAGTTCTGGGATGACCCTTCACACATGGAAAGAATCTAGAAAACAGACTCGGCTGTGAGCCTTCTGCCCTTCTCAGCAAGCGGAAATAGTCTTATGGAGTACACTGAGGTCGTCATGTCCCTGTGTCTTTCAGCAATGACTTTACATCTAGGGCCTCTGAGATGGCTGGGATAGGCTGGAATGTAAAGTCACTTGTTGAAAATTCTGACAGCCCGAGTTCCACTCCAGGGACTGCAGGACGGAAAGAAAGAACAGATTCCTGTGGGATGCCCTGGAAACTCCACAAGACTGCTCCTCCCCAAGAAATAAATACATGCAGTAAAAATTTAAACTGTAAGTCTAATTGTCTTTGGATGGTGTTCCTAGTAACAGAAATAAGGAAGGAGGAGGAAGTTGTGGCTGAGGACAGACAGTAAGCTGGTTTCCTATAAGCTGGTAAGAAAGTGGTCTGTGGCATGTGAACCGAAAAACACAGAAGCAGGTCAAAATAAAGACTGGAGCGTGGGAGAAAGGCTGGCTGCATGTGGGCATGAGGATGTTGAAAGAAAGGCTCGCAAGTGCCCACAGCTGGTGACATCTGGATGGGCGATGGCAGGTAAGGGTGCCTTCCAATCTCTGCACTGCCATTTACTTTGTCAGGAATAACACTTTCCAAAACAAACAGAATTAAGAGATCCAAAGCTCTGGATACAGAGTCAACACAGCTGAGTGTGGACCATTCTCAGCTAGACTGCCTTTTCACGTGACACCGAATAGTGATCTCTGACAAGAGTGACTCTGCACACTTGGGAAGACTGGAAGGGGGCAGATACAAATAATCCCTTTAAATATGAAAGTGAAAATTTGCAATCCTTGTCAATACTTCGTTATAGAATGAGGGCAAAAATTCTAGGAAAGTGGAGGGTCACAGAAGCCACCATTTTCCATAGAGCTGTGGCTTTATCTAGGTGGTATCAAGTACTTGTGAGCACCAGTCAAACTGGTGTCATGAGTTGTCACCATCCCCCCAACAAGGAAACTATCAGAGGCCAGTGAATGTGGATCAGTGCATAGTTTGATAATTTAATAAGTGGCCAGCAGTTTGATGCCAACCTAGAAGATTCTAACTGTTGCCCAAGAGCATCTTGCTTTTCTGTTCATCATATTGCTTTTCTGTTCCTCATGTAGATGAAACAGACAACTAAATAAACCCACAGATGTTAGGACAGTTAAACCCAGGAGAGAAAATCAGCCTGCAAGAATAAGAAGTGTGGGAGGTAACTGAGCTACCGAAGTCTTTGAAGCCTAGAGAGGGAATGTGCAAGTTGAAGGCAGAATATGATCTGTAGAAACATTTAGTAATGAAACAGACTCAGAAATGCTCGTGGATAGAGCATTCCATCCCAGCTCTGGAATATGTTAGCTATATAAAGATGAAGGGTGAGCTATTAGGTAATATGACTTGGTGAATACGCTCAGAGGAACACATTGTCCAGCTCTTAGAGACTGCTCAATAAGCACAAACTTCCTTTTCTTTCCTCTCAGGGTGCACCAGCGTCCGATGGCATTTGAAGCGGGGTAGAGTAAATGCAGCCCTCAGTGGCCTGAGTGGCCCTTCAGTCTTGGAAGGTTGGAAGTCATTCCTCCTGCTTTACCCTCCCTGGTATGTCTGCCTGCATCTAGTTCAGACAGCTTCATTTTGAGTAGCCAGCAGAATGAGGAGGGGACTTGAAGGCCTGTTAGAACAAGAGTCAGGAAGGGAGTTGGGGATGTTTCACCCAGAAGGCAGATGATACAAGGGCTGTTTTCAAATACCTGCAAGGATGCCTTTCTGGAAGAATAATACCTTCTACTACACGCCACAGAGAACCACATTCCCCTTCTATCACACTCCACAGAGAATCACATTCCCCCTTTTATTACATGCCACAGAGAACCCCAGTCTCTAATATTCAGAGCTAGATGGATACTCTTCTGGATCCCGGGGGATGTTTATCTATTCAGCAAATATTTATTAAAAATCCTCCCCATGGTGGGCACCTTCTGGACTCTGGAGTTATACTGATGGACAAGTAAGACATATTTCTGATGTCACAAAGCTTGCACTCCAGTAGACAGGGAAAATGCTATACAATACTAGAAAGAGAAATTAGCAGTATGTTAGGAAGGGTTTGGAATTAGTGGGAGATGTGAGAGCTGGGGATGGACCAGGAATTAGATCCAATGTTTGAAAAGATAAACATACAGGTACAGACTGCAAAGATTGTATTTATATATTTGGGAACACACACACACACACACACACACACACACACACACAGTAATGAAAAAGAGGCCATGATTTTATTCTTTTTTGTTTTGTTTTTGTTTCTTTTAAAAGAGACTAAGAAGGGTACATGTAAGGGTTTGGAGGGAGGGAAGGGAAGGAGAAAATAATGTAATCATATTAATCTCAAAAAATTTAAATAATACTTTTTAAAAACTTCCCAGTCTGTTCGTGTTATCAGTGAAAAACAGTACCAAATTCTCTGGAAATTTTTTAGTATTTAGGATCAGTGATCTAGAGTGCTCAGTTCCTTCTGTGAATTCTTAAAAGAAGCAGGTAGCATACAAATGTTACTCTCTTATTTTGGGAATTTCTCCTCATCATCTTAAAATATTATCTTATCTCTTGCTAAATCTTAACCAAGGAAATCAGGGGCTTTGACCCAGGACAAGCTCCGTACATAGTCCATAGTTATAATTATACTAACAATTTTATGTGTGGTTTTTTTGGTCGCCCCCTCCCCAGACTGCACCAGGCCATGCCATCTCAGGCATCCTTTCCTGGCTACTCACCGTTGGCATGGTTTTGATGATACTTGGAAATATTGTTTGTGGTAGTTTCTGGTGGCCCTGCTGCTTTGGAGGTGGCTGGATTTCTGGGTTTTGTGGTGGCTGAATGGTCTGCAGCGGCTGGTGGCCCTGTTTTGGCTGGGGCTGCCCGGCAGGCTGATCAAGTATGTTTGGCAAAGACTTAGGATCCCGTTCAGAGAAACATGGCTTTGTTTCCAGTGGCTGCTGCTGCTTGTTTAAATTCTGCTTTGCATCCTGGTGGTGTGCAGAAGGGCCCAGTACCTGGCCGACTTGAAAATATGGGTGTTTTAATGCCTGGAAAAGCAAGAAAATATCATGCCAAAATGTCACATTATATCAAGGTTTAGCTGATAAGAATGTTTCCAAGTTTAAATCATATGCATCCTTAATATAGGGGATTCTGCTCATTACTAACACTGATTTTCTTGATGGGGGTTCTGGGTATAGAACTTGTGGCCTCATATATGCTAACCATGAACTCTACATTAATGAGAGCCAAGTGAGTAGGGTCTCTGTAGGAAATAAAAGTTTGGGCAATGCTGAGTACGCTGAAGCCAGAAGACAAGCTTCCCAGGAGAAGGTCTGCCTTCCATAACCGAAGCACACTGCTAAATCCACATTCCTTGGGTTTTGTCTCATCTTTTAGGATGAACTGTAGGCAAGGTGAACACACTGAGAATCCTTCTCCTAGCCAAATTATAAATAACTCCATGTGGCTTCTAGGGATTGACCTAGAAGCACCCTAACCTGCTAACCCGTCTCGCTGGCTCCTCTCCTATTGCTTTCTCATCATGATAACAAGTATTTACACATGCTTTGTGCTGGTTCTAATGGCTTAGTTTTTAAGTAGATATGCACAATCTCCTGTGATTTCTTCCTATGCCAGGACTGTTGCTGTGGTGATTACATCACAGGTCATTTTACTATCTCATAGGGCAACTGTACCCCAACCACTTTTCTCTAATTACCTGTTATGTCAAATATGCCTGGATCCATCTTTCTCTTTTGTTTTTGTTACTAGCCTTTAGAAAACACATAAGTTATTTTTTAAATGGGGGGTTAAATTCACATGGAATTTATACTAAATTTACAGAATATAATAAAATTCATCTTTTTTGGGTTGTTATTAAGCCATGACATTTGTGGCATAAAGTGCCACAATGCTGCCCTCTTGTGGGAGTTTGAGGTTAAACCCCATTACTGCAGTCGGATTTCTTGATGTACACTGTGAACAAGACAGACATACATGGATCCCCGGCTGAAGGGAAAGATCTCCTGAGCTAATCGGGGAAGGGAGAGGGATCTGGGAGAAAGAGATGGAGAGAAGAGGAGGGGAGGGGAGGACATGAGAGAGCGAGAAGACCGTGTGGGGGGGGGGAGAAAGATATACTGTAATAGGGGGAGCCAGTCTAGGTTTAAAGAGAAATCTGGCACTAGGGAAATGTTCAGAGACATACAAGGTTGACCCCAACTAGCAATCTAAACAATAGTGGAGAGGCTACCTTAAATGCCCTTCCCCGATAATGAGATTGTTGACTACCTTAAATGCCATCCTAGAGCCTTCATCCAGTAGCTGATGGAAGCAGAAGCAGACACCCACAGTGAAACACTGAATCCAGTTGCAGAGAGGGAGGAGTGATGAGCAAAGGGGTCAAGCTCAGACTGGAGAAACCCACAGGGGGGAGCTCATGGACTCCAGACTGATGGCTGGGAAACCAGCATAGGACTCTCCCAGAACCCTGAACATGAATGTCAGCCAGACACAGAAGAAACAGGACAATAGGACATAGAGCATGAAAGTAAGGTTTAAAAAAGCCTCAAGGCAAAATGTAGATGATGAGAGACAGGTTGAAATAAATTATTATAAGAACTAGTGGGTCACGCATAGGAGAAGGCTGAATATTCACAGCTAATAAGTCTAGTGTCAGATTTGGGAGCTGGCTGGTGGTCCAAGAAAAAGCCTACTATAAGCCCCTGCAAGGTAGCTCACAACTCTATCTCCAGTTCCAGGAGATCCAATGCCCACTTTTGGCCTCTGTAGCTGCTGTACCCATGTGGCGTATATACATATACTAAAACACACTCATACACATAAACCAGATATGTTTTAAAGACCCTCACAAATGTAGAAAGCTGTTCCTGGGAGATCTGTCTCACCTGGCTTGCGGTTGGTCGTTTCTTTGGATCCCAGCTCAACATTTCCATCATAAGCTGAATAGCCTCACTACTTGCATTGGGAATGAGAGTTTTTAGATTTATAGGAATGCACTGGGGAAAGCGGAAATTCATGGAGGATGCAAGCTGGTACCCTTCTGGCCAATCACTCTGTTTAAGGATATACACAAAGAGGAAATGATTTTTGTCGTTAATATAACAGGAGTGACATAGAAACCATCAATGTGGGGAACTTCAATACTGAGTCAGATAAATAAATATGCAAATAAAACACCAGACCACACTTTATGGAAAGGACGTGGAACCAAGAGGAGGTCAAATGACAGAGTACGTCTACTGATTTCAAAATATCAAACTCTTCTGGTTTTCAGTCTCAGTGACAACTTGGTGATGGAACAAATAAGGACAGAGCTTTAAAAAGAGGCTGCATCCTGTGAATATCCCTACACATCAGAGCAAGCCCAGCATCAAAGCACCTGTGGCTGGGAAAGGACCATCAGCTTCTTAGGATCTACATTTACCCATCAACCAAGAGACCAGTGCTGACTTCATTAGGCTATAATTATACGTTCTACTTATTAATTACATCTTAGATGGTAAGGTCTACCCCACAGGTAATAGCCATGGAGAGGTACTCAGAATTCAGTAGACCTGATATCATAACAGAGATAGAAATAGAAACCAGAAAAAGACTAAGAGAAAATGAGGTCTAGGGTTCCAGGAGTTAGTGAATGGGTGGGCATTTACAGAACAAACAGGACAGTTAGAGGGCTAGGTCGGTGTCACAAACATCAGCCCAAACTTAAGCTCTAGGCAGATGCCCTCCTTATGTTTCTTAAGGAAAAGTGAACCCCTTTTCTCCCTTCAAATATGGGGGGATTCTGACTTCCTGCAATCCTTATTGTTCCCAATTAAAAAATAGCAATGTGTGCAAGAAAGCCACTAACGCATAAAGCTATTTGAAACTGAAAATATAGCACGCCTCTGCTAACGTGAGAAATCGAGTTAGAAAATGAAAAAGCAGGGTGGCAAGTGAGTAGTCCGCAAAGGTCATGACAGCTCGGAGACTAGTGTACTTACTTTCTTAGGAGTCCCTAAAACTTGGCAAATTTTAAAGATTTCATCAACCTCACTTGTCCCTGGGAAAAGCGGTCTAAATGTATAGAGCTCGGCCATTATACTTCCCACGGCCCACACGTCAATGGGAGAGCTGTACACTGAAGATCTTAGTAAAACTTCAGGAGCCCGGTACCTGTGAAGACAGAAAACAGTGTGGGAAAAGCTGTTTCCGGGTTAGTGTCACAGGTGGACAGACAGCTGGGGTCAACTGTTTGCTCGGAGCCCCCATCAAGGCCCCAGGGACTGGCATGGCACCTACTTCCTGACCACAGTTAAAAGGTGGAGGAAATGTCCCGTGGCTTGAGGTAGGTCTTCATATGGATAATCCGGAAGGTAAGCACTCTCTCTGAATAATTCAGAAAGAACCATGGCAAAACCACCAGGTGTTCACGCACCCACATGCAGGTCAGAAAAGGAAAGAGGACAGGGTTGTCCCTGAGCAGGACTTTCCTTTTTAACAAATCTGATTGAAAGTGTCCATGCTATCATTGTACTTCCTTATGCAGATAGTACTCTTTGTAATTTACAAGAGCAAAGACAAGTGACAAGGCCCTGCAACGCCCTCCCCCCATCACTGATCCCCTATGCACAGGTCGTCTTCCCAAGCCTGGCGTCCATCACCTAACGGGATGATCTCCAGCTCAATTCATTTCTCTAAATCTGACAAAATTCCATTCTTTTTAACAAGTGCCTTCAACTCCACTGTGTATGTATCCATTTTCTCTCTCCATTCACTAACTTTTCAAATGTGGACTGACACTACCTGGACACTGGCGTATTCTGGTCTGCACTGTCAGTAACTATGGCCCCTCGTGGTAGAAAGAAAATGCCAAGGAGTAAATACTCGTTGTATGTTCATCATTTGCTTCTCTTGATAAGCAGAAAGTACCAGTTTTTCACTAAAGGAACACTTTGTTTCTGCAACTGTTGTTGATGGGAGATTCCCTTCAAAATAATTTCTTCAGAAAGCATGTGTTCCTCCCTGCAAGGCTACAGTTACAAAGTCCCACAATTCAAATGACTGAAAACAGCAAGTTTACTCTCTGAACAGCTCCAGAGTGACAATTCTGATGTCCAGATGTGGCATGGCTGTGATCTTGGAAGGGTCTAAGGCAAGGCTAATCCAGGCTGTGATGAAGGTGTCTCACTCCTGACTGACTTTGGTTTAAGTTAATTATATCTGCAAAGGCCTAATTCCCAAATAAGGTCATATACACGGGATTAGAGGTTCAAAATATCTTCTAGGGGAGACACAACTTAACCCGTAAAACCAAATAGCGAAACTGCTGTGGATTCACGCCAAGAAAGGCATGTTACTGTTATCCTCAAAGGCTCACGAAACCACTATTCTAACTTAAACGAGCAGCTTTCCTTAGTCTTGTACTTTATACAAATGATGACATTCAACAGAAGCTCTTTTTCTATGTGGCTTCTGAGAAGCAGCTATGGGGTTATATGTCACTGTAGGCTGTCCTTTTCTCCTGCCGAATAGCCTTCCCTTGAGTAGAATGCCTTGTGTTGATGGGCAGTTGGGACCATAGTATGGTTTTGGTAACTTGTACTATTTAGCTTATTTGTGTCTTGGCTGTCACATAAGCTGCATAGGGCAGAGACTTCTCTTCTGCTTTGTTCATGGTCTTGAGTTCCCAGTGCCTACAGTAACTTTTAGCACACAGTAGGTGCTCAGCATTATTTGTTGAATGAATGATTGAACTCTTATTTCTCTTGTTTCATTATTGGAATAGCCATAAGCCAATTCTTCCCTCTCTGTAAAGAACATAAAATCTCTATGTTTTGCTTTAGATACCAAATATGGACCCTCTGAAAAGATAATGAACTCTTCCACATAGGAAGACTTAGACATAAATGTTACCATCTGGTTGACACATAGTCAGTATACGGTGGCTGTGATCTTAATTCTCTTGCAAGTCCAAAATCAGCAATTTTCACCAGCTCTGGACCCATACAGAGCAAGTTTTCAGGTTTCATGTCCCTGTGAAAAAAGCCTGTGCAAGAAAGAGAGGAAAAACACAGAAGTCATCTTATTTATTACCATCATCACATGACCTTTGGTTGGTATCAATAGAACCAAGCTCCCCTAGTAGCACCATGGGGTTAGAAGAGGAGATGCTTTCTTTTGGAGAAGTAACAGCATGTAGAATCTTGCACACAACATATAAGATAATTAAAAATAACTGCCCATTTAACATGTATTTTAAATCTGTGACTTCAGTAGATGTTTATGAGGGATAAATACTAGCACACTGGGGCTATCTCCTATCATTTCCACAGTTGTATGGAATTTGGATGTCTTGTTCTCATTCTGTGTAACTGACAAGAAGGAAGAGGCACAGATAAGCTTGATTCAGCTGGTCTCGTTTCTGCTGTTACACTGTGGCTTAACACAAGATTCTGTGAGTTTAATCACATATTTGAAAAGTTCATTGGACAAGAGAGCCCACACATTTTAACTAATCTCCTCATTTATTTAACAGTTCACTTTTCCCTGGTGGCTAAGTCTTTAAAAAAAAAACCTCAGTAATAAAAATGGTCATTACTACCATTGATCATTACTACTGAAATAACGGTCAGTTACAGAGGCTAATGGGCAGCCCTAAGGAAATGCTCAGGAAAAGGGAAACTGTGAGGGCTTTGCTTGAAAGTCAGCATTAAGGGGATTCTTCCATAAGATGGGCTCAGTGTTGGATTCTGAAGAGCCCACTAGGGAGAAGAACTGTGGTTAGGACCAGAGGCTTTCCGTGGAGGTTTGAGGCCCAGCTCTCTAAGCGTCAACATTTTAAGCCACTCGCCTATGTTCCAAGTGCAGCAATACCATGACACAAACCTACACATCCTTCTACCTAAACACCCAAATGGCCAGTGATTCTAAACAGACTCTCATTAAAAGCAAACATATTAGATTTCTGAGTCAATAATTACTTTAGTTCTATGAGCAAACAAAATCACATAAACTAAAAGTAAATGAGTAAGAGAGTCATAGAAAATAAACACCAGCTTCCATTCCACTCTGGGAATAGAAGTAACTGTGAAAGCCAAGGACCACTATGAAGACCCATACACAGGCACTGCACATTATTTAAATCCCCGTGGGCAACCATGTTTGATCAAAGGCTTCTAATTGTGTCCAAGGTTAAGTTTGGAGGGAAAACCGTCATTGAGAGAACAGAAAGGGAGCAGGTTTACAAGGGTCAGCCTGGTCCAAAAAGCATCACCCACACAGAAGAAAAATAACAACAATGACCAAAACCAAACAACCAAACAAAAAACCGCAAAAAGCAAAAACCTGCAGCTGCATCCTGTCCAGAGAGAATAGCGGAACGATGAAGAAACAAAATCAGCCACAACCCAAAATCACATCGCTCCCTCTTTGCACAACAGGCAACTGCCAGCATACCACCCAGGGTTTCTCCATGATGGGTGCCCTGCAGCCTAGCACCGTACATGCTACCGCCATGCTGCAGCCTAGCACCGTACATGCTACCGCCATGCTGCAGTCTAGACCGAACACGTTACCGCCATGCTTGGTGTTCTCTGCACAGTGCGTCAAATAAAACTGTTGCTTCCTACTTCTCAAAAGAGAATTCTTCCCGGCCCGGCGGTGGTGGCGCATGCCTTTAATCCCAGCAGTCGGGAGGCAGAGGCAGGCGGATCTCTGTGAGTTCGAGGCTGGGCTGGACCGATAGCCTCCAAAACAATACAGAGAAACCCTGTCTCGTAGAGAGAGAGAGAGAGAGAGAGAGAGAGAGAGAGACAGAGAGAGAGAGAGAGAGAGAGAGAGAGAGAGAGAGAGAATTCTTCCCCTAACCTGCCCAAACCCCCACAAGAGACTTGTTTTTTTTAAGTTTCTTTGGTTGAGTTTGGGGGAGGGGTGTAAGGAAGGAGACTGATGATTGAACTTCTTGAAAGTCTGTTATAGATAATAGATATCGTACACAATGATAAAAATTGTAATGTTTAGATGACAGCATCAATGTGTTCAGGCGTAACTTAGCAGATGAGACAGACACTATTCCTATGTGTGGCCATTATAATAGCCTACAGGGACAGAGAGTGCGACTACACACAAACTTACCATGTTTATGGATAAAGGCCAGCCCCTGCAGTATTTGATACATAATATTTCTGATGACTGACTCAGGGAACAGTTTGTTTCTGGAAGAAATGAATAGTCTGTTAACCAACTGAAAATGAAGAAGGCTGGTACTCCTGTTGCCTTGTAGCCTCTTCTGGCTAAAGGTATAACTATTAGAATTGTGTTAAATGCTGTAGGTTTAAAATGTGAAAATAGCAATTTTTTGTTTATTTTGATGTTCAGAAAACCTCAAATCCAACAGCGGATGTCCTATACAAATATTCTATAGTTAAAATCTAAACTGTCCCGATAACAGCAGAATACACTGGAAAACTATCAGTATCAAAAAACAGTTACATAGACTTTGAGAAGCAGGGCCTCCTTGTTTTGTGTCTTTGTTGTTGCGTTGAGATAGGGTCTTGCCAAATGGCTCAGGCTGGCCTTGAACTTGCCATCCTCTTGCCTCAACCTTCTCAGTGTTGGGATTACAAATTTGTATGTAATTACAAGTTACTATGTCCCATCCAATAAAAATATGGTTAAGCACTAACTATGAGCCCTGTTTAATTTTTTAGCAGCTACATTTAACAAAAAGGAAACATTAAACTTAATTAAAAATTTTAGGTTTATTTTGACTGATGCATGAGTATTAAAAATGTATATTTTTATACAAATATAAAGTACATGAAATATGCATATAATGTGATATTGTATATTTTATGTATGTATATACTATACAATGTTTAAATTGGAGTAAATGTTTATGTTTCAGACACTTATAATTTCTTTATGGTAAAAATTTCAAAATTCTTTCTTCTACCTTTCAAACTGTGCAATTTGTAATTGTTACCTACCATGGTATAATAATAGGTGGCTGAGTATCCACTCTATCTTTCCACTCAGTTATAAAGTGCATTTGTTTAAACAAACAATGAATACAAAGCTGTTGTTTCTGCTATCATTCTTAGAACTGAGAGACCTGGTCTTATGAATGAAGCCCAGGCTGTCCTTGAAGATGCTACATAGCTGAAGATGACTCTGCATTTTCTGCTCTTCCTCCCTCCTCTCCCAAGTGTTGGGATTGTAGGTGTGGAGCTACCATGCCTGGCTAACATAAAAATTGTTAATAATTTCTTATACTAAGTTTCCAAGTTTGGTGTATAATTTATTTTGCATTATAGCACAGTTCAATTTAATCATTTTAAGGGCTTGAAAGTCACATGAGACCAGTGGCTACCACCTTAGACGTGGTATTGAGATTATATCCATAGTAAGGTCCCAAAGAAAATTAAAGTGAGGGTGCAAAAATTAATTTCTGTCAGACTACCAACTAAAATTAACAACAACTGAAAATTAAAGTAAGAATTTCCTTTAGGCTGGTAACATTAAGTTTTATCACTCAAGTGTCTCTAATGAATAAGTTCATCAGATCCTCTGGGTGGGGGCAGGGTGGACTATACATCTGTGTATTTACTTGTAGAGGCTTAGGTCAACGGAGGACGAGTACGCCATTACCCTCCTTGTTTCTTTGAAACAGGATCTCTCGCTGAATCAGGAGCTCACTCATTGGCCAGGCTGACAGAGGAGGTCCAGGGCTCCAGCTGTCTCCCTTCTCCCATGTTGCGGTACAGCCAGCCACCTGGCTTTTCTATGCTTCCTGAGGATCAGACCTCTGGTCCCCATGCTTGCCCAGTGGGCAGTTCACTGACTGAGCCATTTCCCCAGCTCCTCATCATTTCTTGAAAGCCATTTAATTCTTCATTTATTCACAACTCTTTCATAAGCTGCTTGAAAGGACAGTGAAGACAACATCCTCATTTTTACTTAAGGCCAGCTCTACTTTTGAACATAATGCTTCTGATTCTCTTCATTCGAGAGGGGAGGGATGGTTGGTAAGCTTGTGTGATGTCTTTACGTTAGTTGCTAAGGCATTACAGTGGGAGAGTAGTAGCGATGCCATCGCTGGTTTTTCAGTGTCAAATGCTACCATTTGATGAAATGACTATCAATTCATTTAAATCTGACTTAGAGATGAACCAGCATATCATCAAGTATGACACACTGAAAGGATCTAAAACTCATGGAAAAAAATGACAGGGAAAATATAGTTTTCATAAAATACATACCTGTCTTTCATTAGCTGATAGAGGTTTTCTTTCATATATTCAAATATAAAATAAAGGTGGTCATTTTCTCTGATAACTTCCTTTAGTTTAATCACATTGGCATGATTGAGTTTCTTCAGGGACTGTGAAACAGGAGAACAGCACCACTTTGAAATTACCCAAGTCTGCAGGACCTTATCTGCGCAGGTTAGTTCCCTCCGGAACTGTCCATTTCTCTTAGATTCATTAGTAAATCGCATGCTAATACCTACGTAACTTCAAAAGATCTTAGAGCATTAACCTGAAGCAAATGTTTAAGCAATGAGTATTAAGTGAGGGGGCAACCAGCTGACTAGAGTGTTAACGACCGCTTGCCCTCTTCGTTTTCCACAGGAGGTCTAACTTTTTCTTTCCGACTTACCCGTGTCAGACTCCATGAAAAGTATCTAAAAACTCACCAAGCCGCACAGCAGAAAACACAAGAGAACAGAATGTCATGGTTTAAAAAGCGATCTGTCCTTTGAGAGTGAGTTTTAAAGTCATCTTTACACAGAAGGAGGCCTGGCTGTCTTCTGTTCCCCACTAACATGGGAGCAAGGAGGGATGGAAGGATGTGAGGCTTGAGGAGTGGAAAGGAAGGGGGTGAACGCAGTTACCTTTAGTTAGGAGGCATGTGGAAGAGTCTAAACACTGATTCTCAACCCGTGGGTCACATAGCAGGGATCCCGAATATCTTATAATTTACATTATAACAGTAGCAAAATTACAGTTACAAAGTGGCAATGAAAATAATTTTATGGTTACAGTCACAACATGAGGAGCTGAATTAAAGGGTTGCAGCATTAGGAAGGTTGAGAACCACTGGTCTAGAATAATCTTAGTCGCTGTCCTTGGATACGGGGTACTGTTGGGGTCTTGACTTCTTTACCTTAACTTCTCGCAAGTTCATACACTCATCCCAAGAATAGAACTTTCTCTTCATCCTGAAATAAATGAGGGAACATTTAGTGTTCCGACTGGAGGCTCCGAGAAACCTACCCCACCACCTCTGGTCTCTGGTGCCCCTGACTATGGCTTCACTTTGGGGACCACTCTTCCTCTTCCTGCTCACATTCAGGGTGGCAGGTCTGGGCTCAGGTGTCCAGTCTGTCATTCTACTTCCACACAAGCGTGACTGCCCTGAAGCTTCCCTTCTCACGGAGTTCTTACTGCTTGTTTTTAAAATCAGTTTAACTGTGATTTTCCTTTAGAAAGTCCTGAACACAACAATTCCTTTCTGTGACTTAAAGGTAAACACAAACACTGTACTTCAGAAGTGGGGTAGGGTGAGAGTTACAAAGTTTGGAAGCGGCCGGGCGTTGGTGGCGCACGCCTTTAATCCCAGCATTTTCTGTCTCCTAGACTAGTGTTCCTCATCAGCTAGACTACTTTGCAGGTCTGAACTGAATCTCTCTCCCTGATGCTGCAGGCTCTCGAGCAAGCAAAGGAAAACAAACCCCCAGCATTTACACGGAAACTGGGCAGTGCCGCGCACACACCTCTTGATGGCCACCAGCTCTCCAGACTCGTTGCTCTTGCCCATGAGCACACTCCCGTACGTGCCGTCCCCCAGCTGCCTCATAGTCGTGTATCGGTTCATCTTGGGAAAAGGTAACGCAGCAGGGGTTGTTCACGGAGATATCTTCTTGTGGAATAGAAATCTAAATACTTCTTTATTTGTGGTCCTTTTCCTTCTTGCTGCTACACTGGTGATAGCTTGTCATCATTAAGAACGGCTCCTTAGAGATCAGGTAGGCTCATGAGATACAGCGATGAGGAATCTGGCAAAGAGACACTGTTTCCATTCTTATGGACACCCTGTGAAAAACCACACCGGAAGTGTTTCCATTAGAGTCCCTACTACACATTTACTGACACCCTACACCGAAACACTGGAGCTGATACAAAGGCCACTGTTGGAGGCCATTTGTGCTGTGTGGAAGGAAGTCTACACACAACAGACTCACAGGCAGCTTGATGATCCCCTGACCCTGCACTGGGCGGTCTACCCATGAATGTTCAAGCTTGTGTGACTCTCTTTTTACTGGCTATAATCTATGGTGTTTCAAAGGAGCCTGGAAAAAAATCAGACATCTAAACCGCATCCATCATTTGAAGCAATTTTTGTATCATTTAATTTAGTCTGTTAAATTTAAATTATATTATCTACTTAAAAATTTCCAGTAGACTACAACTGTCTAAATTAGGTAAGGCAAACATAAAACAAGTGTGTTTTATATGAAGAGAATAGTAATATAAAAGAACTTCTTACTTTATTTAAATAATATGCTTCTTTCTTTTACATTAAACCAAGAAAAACATTCACACAAAGAAATAAGAACCGGGTGGTGGTGGCGCACATCTTTAATCCCAGCACTTGGGAGGCAGAGTAGGTTAAGTGGATCTCTGTGAGTTTGAGGCCAGCCTGGTCTACAGAGCGGGTTTCAGGATAGTCAGAGCTGCACAGAGAAACCCTGTCTCGAAAAACAAACAAACAAAAGAAAGAAAAGAAATTCCCACTTCTTTGCACACACATATGTGAGGCAGGCAGGCACAGGCAGTTTAGCTTGGGACTCTTCGGCTTTGGCAGCCCAGTTCCTTCGTCTGCACGTTCTATGCACACGCTACTCTCCCAACAATGAACCCAGCCGACTCAGAGGCCCCTTGGGCTCCCACCTGTGCCAGGCAGGCTACATGTATTCCGGTTTCTGAACAACGGTACAGATTTCTCCACCCCAATAAGGATCAAATTGAACAGTTTCAGTTGAACATATATCAGGTATAAAGACTAGAAGGGCTGCTGTGGCCCGAGGTGGTGTGCATGCACAGTGAGGCATACCTGGGGCCTCAAGGGAACTGTTAGGGCGAATCCACTATTTACCATCTTATGCCTATGCATAATTAGGCATGTATGTGTGGTAGTTTGAATGTAAATGGCTCCTTATGAGTGGCACTATTAGGAGGTGTGGCTTTGTTGGAGTGGGTGTGGCCTTGTTAGAGGAAGTATGTCACTATGGGGGTGGGCTTTGAGGTTTCCTATGCTCAGGATACCACCCAGTGTCTTATTCGATTTCCTGTTGCCTACAAGACGTAGGACTCTCACACAATGCGCCAGCTCCACACTGGCCTGAATCTGCAATGAACACAGATGCCTTCCCTACCCCTGGACTTCTGAGTTTCTGGAGACCACAACCATCCAGAAGCCACTGGCTCTACCCGAGCCTGAATTTGTGATGGACACAGATGGCAACACCTCCCCCCAGACTTTTGGGTCTGTGATGGCCAGAAGCCACCAGAAGCCCAGATGCCAAAGGCACCAGGCTATTAAGTACCATCGTACCAAGAGCTGCCTGTGGTCTCAGGCCCGGGCACAGGAGAGTGGAAAGGCAACAGTTTCATGCCATCCCTTATGGTTGGGTTAGACAGTACTCAACCAAGTGTCACATGTGATCCAACCAAGATCCCCGATGCTGGGCAGCTGGGTACCATTATGATAAGAGAGAACATGGTAGGGAATTGGAAAGGAGGGAGAGTTGGAACGGTTTGTGCTGGGAGAGAGGAGGATCCCAAGAGGCGAGGGTGGTGAGGAACTGGCAGATGAGAATGGTCAGCTGTCCACCCGAGTTCAGGGAGATGTCTGGGCCTGGACTATGACCAATGGCTGGGTCTGGATCCCTGAAGCAGCCAAGGGGGCCTGAGTTGATGTCTGCAGCTCCCGTTGCACTGAGGGCTGTGCAGGGGCCTGCGGTGTGATCACACCAATCTGAGTGCTGCACGGCCATGGGTGCAATCTGGGCGGTGTGCATGACCACCTGGGGCCATGGTGACAATCTAGCCCGGGCTGCTGCACTCAGAAGGCAGAGGCTGGCGGATCTCTGAGTTTGAAGCCAGCCTGGTCTAGAGATCCAGTTTCAGGACAGCCGAGCTTAGGGGGTGAAGGACAGAAAGCTGCTGAAGGTATAACTGAACGTGGGGGCCATGTTCCAGCCCCAGGAAGCAGCTTCAACCACATGGTTCCGGCTTAGGGTTAAGGGTAGAAGAAGGGGGCTACAGAATTTGCCTTTAAGACTAAGGAAAGCCACTAAGACCAAGCATGTGTCAAGGGTGTCCCTGAATGGAGGCCTAGAGAGGCTATTTCCTGAAGTTGTGAAGCTGAAGGCTAAATTGCCTTGGAGACCCCAAGATGTTGGAGGTGCCAGAGCCATGGGATACCTGTCTAGGAGAGCTGCTAACAGGAAGTGGAACCAGCCCAACAGAAAGAAGTGCATTACTGTCAGCAAAGCTGAATGGTGTTGGAGATCTGACGAGCATTTTGACATCAGACATGGAGATGCAGCCTTTGGAGTTTGCCTAGCTAGTTTTCAGTCTTGCTTTGGACCAGTATTTTCTCACTATGCTCCTTTCCCTGTGCTTTGGAATGGACATGTATATCCTGGGCAATATGTTGGATCCGTTTTTTGATTTGGGGTTTATAGGGAATTGCAATTAAGAGATTGCATGAATCTCAGAAGAGACTTTGAACTTTGGACTTTTAAAGGTTGTTGAAATTGTGATAGACTATGGAGACTTTTGAAGTTGGATTAAATGCATTTTATATTATGATACTGTTATAAGTTTTTGGGGGCCAGGGAGTGGGATGTGGTAGTTTGAATGTAATTGGTCCCCATAATCTCATAGGGGTGGCACTAAAAGGAGGTGTGACTTTGTTGGAGTGGGTGTGGCCTTGTTAGAGGAAGTGTGTCACTGTGGGGGTGGGCTTTCCTCAGGATACTTCCCAGTGTCTCAGTCGACATGAAGTCAGCTGAGATGCAGGACTTTCAGTTACTTCTCCAGCCTGCATGCCATCATGCTCCCTGCCATGATGATAATGGACTGAACCTCTGAAACTGTAACCAAGCCACCCCAATTAAATGTTTCGTTTATAAGAGTTTCTGTGGTCATGGTGTCTCTTCACAGCAATAGAAACCCTAACTAAGACAGCATGTGATTAAAACAAGAAACACTACGTCGAGGGGCAGACACAATAGGAAAAATGAATACATTATCCAACTCATCAATCAAAACTGAGACCCATGCAAATGTTGCCCCTTAGTAACCAGCTCCTCCTCCTCTTCAGCCCCAAGCAATTTGAGCAATTTGAGCCCTCGAGGACTCCCACACACCTGGCTCACTGTCAATCTTGATGGTGGATCCCTCTCTCATCTGTACTCTCTATTTGTTCTCAGCAAAGGGACCTCGTTACGTTTGCGAATCTGTGAGTCCTTCCTTTCCATTGTTTGGATAAGAAGTACAGAACCAGGAAACACCCAACCTAGACCCCAACCACCAATTCTATGTATATGTGCATACATGAGCAAGAGACAAATTACATTTGATTTTGTAGGAGACACACTGGTGGAAAGCTGCCTCTCACTGAATTATTGAGTCGGAACTAGAGGAAAGGACTGAGGGCTGGGTCTGGGGTGCAGCTCAGCTGGCAGAGTGCCTGCCTGGCACACACAGCGCTCTGGGCTGGATCCCCAGTGTCAGCTGGGGGCTGATACCTGGAATCCCAGCACTGAGGAAGTGGAAACAAGAGATCGGAAGTTCAAGGCCATCCTCTACTACACAGCAAGTTTGAGGACAGCCTGCAACACAGGGGGACCCCATCTCCAAACAAACAAGACAGAGGACTAAGACTTGAATCTTCATCTGCATCCAAATTCCCAAATAATGGTTTGAAAAACTTTCAATGTACAGGAACTCGGTCTGTGTAACTAAAAGGTCAGTCCAGCTCTGAAATACCATGAGACTATGAATGTATACCTTTAAAATTATTTATTATTATTATTATTTATTATTAAAATACCATGAGACTATGAATGTATACCTTTAAAATTATTTATTATTATTATTTATTATTAAAATACCATGAGACTATGAATGTACACCTTTAAAATTATTTATTATGGCTGGTGGTGGTGGCAGTGGCGGCCGCAGCGCACGCCTTTAATCCCTGCACTCAGGAGGCAGAGGCAGGCGGATCTCTGTGAGTTCCAGACCAGCCTGGTCTATAAAAACTATTTCCAGGACAAACTCCAAAGCTACACAGAGAAACCTTGCCTTCAAAAACCAAACCAAACCAAAACAAGACGTTATTTATTATGGGCTTATTAGATGACAGTAGGTAATTGCTACCAAGCCCCCAATGACATCAAGTCAATCCCTGGGACCCACATTAGTGGAAGGAGAGAAATGGCCCCTACAATGTACACACACACACACACACACACACACAGGTAAATGTAATAAAACTATTTGTGGTACAGGACATTGAACTCATGGCCTTGCACATGCTAGGCAAACACTCTACAAATGATCCATACCCTTAGTCCTTAATATGCATTCTCAAACACTTTGAACCTCTCCCACTAACAGATCAGCTTTGAAGTTATTATATAATAAAAGAAAAGAAAGGAAAAAGGAAAGGAAGAAATGTAGGTCACTGACAGACACATACTCTTTTACAACAGAAAGCTGGGTAAAACAACTAATAACAAAAATTTCCTCTTGACCACAATTACTCTGTGTCCTAATGGCGCATGTGACTGGCATTAAGGTGGCTGGGTAAAGTGAACTTCCTGGGGAGATCAGCTCTACTGAATTACCAGCACAGTGTGCCTAAATAGAACTTGTCAACAGAAATCCCTGTTCACTTCTTTGCATAACAAAAAATCCAGGAAACATTCTGGAAAGGGAGGGACTTCCCATCTTCCAGGTATCCAAGTCACAGAAATAAAACCCTCAAGGTCATTATGTCCTTCATCGATGGCAAGCGC